GTTACTTCAGACTTTGTTCTTTATACGAAACGAAAAAAAAAAGTTTTCTTGTAGCAATTCCAGACAACAACAACGACGACGTCGACGACGAAAAAAACTGTCTCAGTTCTTTTCGCCGGAGCAATTTTCTACCATCTCAGAAGTCGAGTACGGAAATAAGCAGTCAGACACAACTAAGCAAAACAGGAGATGTTCAGAATTCGAAAAGGAAATGAGACATTCAAACAATCACAACGAATTTAAAATATTTACTGCGAACACTTTTCCCCTCGGTTTGAGAATGGATCAGTGGCCAACAAGTTGGAATAAAGACTTTTTTTGTTGCTTTTTCTTTTGCTTTTATGTGTGGTTGTGTGTCTGTTTGTATATGCCCCGAAAATTTAGACAACCACTTTTCACCCAAGGACAAACATCAACTTTTCAACAAAAATATATTTTGGGAAATAGTTTTGCTCGAGTTTTCCAATAAGCATTAATTGTTGCAATTTAGCATTGGCAACAGTCAATTAACGACCTTTATAGCAAAGACACAAAAAAAGAACAAACACGAGAGAAAAAACTGACCAGGCAACGATGATGGGATGGAACGATCCATGCACGGCAGAGAAGAGATAGAGTGAGGCAACGATGCCTAACAAATATTTTAAAACATTTTCAAAGCAAAAACTTTTCGGAAAAGTTTTTGTTTCCAAAATTGTTTGTATTGTTATAAATCAATTAAGTATTTCAACTATTTGCATGCGCACAGCCAACAAACATTGCCATGTGAGCTAAATGAGTGAAGTTGTGTGTTACAGTTTACCGTTTGTTGTTATTTTTATTTGCTCGTATATTGCGGCATATTACATTAGATGGATGTATTCACACCACAACTATGACGATTAATTGACTCTTTGTTCCACCACTGCGTCTTAAGGCTGTGCATGTGGAATGCTCATATGTTGCACATTTGTAATTCAATGAAAAACACATCGAAGACGAAACAAATTCATGTTCGTTGTCATTGAATTTTCGATAATTTGCTGTAATTTCGTGCAACTTGGCAATTGAGTTGCGTGAATCTGAAATCGGTTAAAGTTTTACTAGAAGGTCTTCCTTCAGTTTATATACATAATTATGATTGATCAGCAAACACGCCAAAAAATACACGAATATACACCGACGATGCAATATGTATTTGCATTATCATTTTACTTTGCTCGTTTTACATTCATTTCAATGTTTCATCATTGGGTTATTGGTGTTCAAGCTCATTCTCGACACTTCTTATCAAGCGTTCAGAAAGACATACATTTATGCGAACAATTGAATGATGCTTGCATCATTTGATGCGCATCGATTGTGCTGTCGCCATACATTCGGATCTTCGGCAGCGCACAACGAAAGCACTAGCGATGCACATCAAATGATGCAAGCATCATTCAATTGCTCGCATAAATGTATGTCTTTCTGAACGCTTGCTTCTTATATATTGTTTTATAACATTTGAATCTGATTTGTGCCACATTCAAAGCCATCATATTTTTTACTCCCCCGGCTACATTGGCAAACAAACCTCACCGCCAAATAAAACTTTCGTACTCAACAACAGGGAAAACATTTGGTGGCTTAAAAATTGACACAAATATAAAATGCATATACTTTTTTTCTCTCTCGCTTAGTTCAACTATTGTCAAATATGTTGTATAGAAGAGAATGCGGAAAATGTGTATAAAAACTTCAACACAACCATACCAATGGCAAATATATTTTGGCATACAAACGAAAAAGTTTGAGTTTTTAATATGTGAATCATTACTCTTCAAGGATGCTTGCGTTGACATCGCGTATAACAATGATATTGCATGTTTGCAACTTTATTGGCCAAATCTAAACCCATTTTGCCTGTTATGTCAATGACTCTGTTTATTTCCGCCAATCAAATTTGAAACAATTGCACACACACAGCCAAAGATCGGAAAGAAATGTCCAATTTTGTTTTAGTCCAGCAACTGATTTTGGCACATAAATGTTTTAGTGATTTTATGCATTTAAAAAAAAGAAGTACAATTACCGTTTCTTCCTATCTCTTTCTCGTTTTCTCTTTATATTCATCAATCACTTCATTTAATAATTTTCGTGTTGAAAGTGGTCAGCACAAGTGAACAAATTAAAACAATCAGCATTCTTCTAATTGAATTATTTATCAAACTGATGAGTTCTTGGAATTGTTGTTCGTCTGACAAAATCACACAAGTAAATGGCTAACAATTTATGATGTTAATTATTTGGATTTGATTAAATCGAACGACAGCTGAGAGACTTTTTCATTGCTGGTTGCATAGAATCGAATGAGCAATCGAGAGTGAGAGTAAGTGAGCTGTGGATGGTTGAAAGAAAAAAAAAGTTTTTGGCGAAGTAGTGATTGTTGCATGATGTGAAGTCAGCTACTGCTATTGCCACTTAAACCGTGTTGATAGCTTGAAGAGGAATATAAAAAGTTTTTGATCAAACTTTGCGAAAAGTTTACGAAATTTTTTTTTTTCGTCTTCACTAGCAAAATTTTACTTTGCATCGTTTTTTTTTTCGTGCAAAATATGGTTCATTTCTCTGCACTTTTTTTGCTTCATATTATTTTTTATGGTCTCCATTTTTTCCGAATTTTCAATGTACAAAAAAAATTAGTGCTAAAGTACAACTAAAGTTTTGTAAACCAGTGATGCACGCGCTTCGATCAAATAGAGAGAAAGAGAATGAAAATTGTACGTAAAAGTTATATGATGTTGTTTCTTGACTCCATTGTACGTTTAAAGTTTGTTCGTCGAGAAGAAAAACTAGGGCTTTTTCAACAAGTTCGCTTCTTTTTTGTTGTTGTTGTTCATTTTTGTTTTGTTTCATCGTGTTTACGTGAATAACTGCATAAAGTTGAGTTCATGTGCTCACCATTTTCAAATGATGGACGCCAACTTTTGACGATTAACATTAAATTACATAATTACGGTTCTTCGCAAATGCTTTGATGTATAAAATTGTTGTACGTTTTGTCGATGACATCAAATGCCAATGAGTTTCGTTGTAAAATCGAAAGAAGAAAGCGAATCTTCGTCCAATTCATCTTACATTTGCACGAATGCATATCGCCGGAATGCTTGAAATTGTTGCTTGAAACAGTGCTTTGCAAATGAATGCGTGCAAAATATTTTCGACCAATTTCAATCGGCCTACCAAAAAACTAATATGTAATAACTGAAAACAACCATTTCAAATCAAATACAACAATGAGCAAAGAGGAGCGAGACCGAAAATAATGCAACAAGAATTGAACAACAATGACAACCGAAAGTTAAGAGTAAAATGCCAAAACGAACGAAAAAGACAAACGAAACGAAACAGTAAAATAGTGTGGAAACGAATGGAGAATGAGAGAAATTGAAACTAGATGGCAAAAGATGGGACGAAAAGTTTTCAAACCATTTTCGAAAACTTTGTGGCGCAAAGTAGATAAGTTTTCTTTGAAAAACAAAATAAACTAAAGAACATTAATGAAATTGGAAAAGAACAAGTTAAAAGTAGAAGTTAGTTTTATAAATGTATATATATGTGTCGCTATGTGCATTCCATAGTGCGTAAGGAGACAGTGGATACATGAGCGCATTTGTATCCACTATTATGGAAGTCAAAACGGCCACTTCATATGCGAACAAACTGTCGCATTCGCGTTTCGCGCTCACTTACTCATTACCTCTGGTTATTATCGTTTGTTGTCCCCGACTGCGTCAGTCGACCATAGATCACCAGAATGTTCGTTGACATTCGAACGGATTACAAACATAAATTCGGAAAAAAAAGAAATTTTATAATTTTTTTTTGCTCCTCTCATCTGCAAATATATCTCACTTCCACAAATTTAAACTCTCTCTCTAAACTTTTTTGTTGTTGTTGTCTGCACATTAGTTTGTCATTTTATTCTTTTACCTACTCAGTTGGTTAAACTTAACTTTGTTTTTGCATTACAAGAACGTTCCCGCTATGTGTGTGATAGAAAAACGCGCGCAAAAACACAAAACTTGCTACCGGTGTTCACAATGGTACACAGAAATGTCAACAACAGTTTTTGACCTCTTTTCTCCATTGAAAGTTTGCTGAATAATTTCCATTTTTGTTGTTCCGTTTTTTTCCCATCTTCTCCTTTTAGAACTTGTTTTCCTTTTGTTTCAAGTGGAAAGAAAAAAAAGTCACAAGAAAACTCATTGAGTTGAATGCATTACTATCGTCCGTTGTAATTGACGAACGAAATAAAGCGACGTACATTCTAACTCATTTCGATCAGAATCGCATAATGTAAAAAAAATTAAACAATGAAAAAAATAGCATCATACGGAATGATTTCTGCTCCATTGCATATATCCGGAGATTAAATTTTGTCCATGGGCACATTGCACATTTCGTACTTATTTTTGCCTATAAATTAGATAGAACTGTATGCGATGAAAATTGTAAAAGAGACAACTTTTCGGTGTGAACAAACTAAATTCGCGGAAAATGGAAATCGCATGTACAAAGCATGACTCTGTAGCACGTGTCTCATACAGTTGCAAATGAATTGATGCCAACTTTAATCTTCCGCCAACTTTTCGACCAACTTTAAGTTTCAACACTGTGTAAATGTGAATTACTTTTGTTCTTTGCCATCTCAATAAAGCATTCACTTTATGAATGGTTAACATCGACCAAAATAAAAACCACTCGCATATTCATAATAATTTTTTTTTTGTGCATTTTATTCGTGTTATCATGATCACTTAACGTCTCACACATGCCGATAAATGTGTGTTTGTTCTCTTCGCCAGTCGATGAAGTGCATTGTCGACGTCCTTTTTTAGGAATTCATCTTTGCTCAGACCTCAATAGAAACGATGCATTTATTTATTATTATTGTTTCAATAACAAACTTTATCAACTAAAGAAAATTTATGTCTAATAACAATTTGTTTTTGTCTTTTTTCTCGTGATTTTTTTAGATTGTAGAAATTTTACCATGAAGAAAACAACACGTCAAAAATAATAGTTTTATAAATTACGACACGACAAATACAAATCGAAGTTTGGATTTTAAAGTCGAAAAAAACAAAAAATATAGAAAAAAGTAACAACCAACAATCATCAACTACTCCAACAAAATCAGAGAACTGATCAACAAACATTCACCGCTCCGAGATCATTTGAAGGCGGTGCTTTGTTTTGCATTTATGAAGAAAAAAAGTCAGTGAAAAGAAAAGTAAAATCGAATAATCCTTCCTAAAACAAAGTAGGCTCCCATATAAAAGAAGCTCAAAGCAAACAGAAAATTGACCAACTGGTGATAAATAAATAAAATAAAAACACAACTTTCAAATAAAACAAAACAAAACAAAAATTAAATTAGTCACAATGCTGTCGAAACGTCAACGAATCGATACACGTGTTCCAATTGTAAATGGACCAAGACCGCTGGTGGCTCTTCTCGATGGCCGTGATTGTGCCATCGAAATGCCAATTCTAAAGGATGTAGCAACAGTCGCATTTTGCGATGCACAAAGCACATCGGAGATCCATGAAAAGGTATGCAATTTGAATGCAAAAACCAAACAAAGGAAATGCCATCACTAATTTGTTTTCTTTGTTCATTGATATAGGTCTTAAACGAAGCCACCGGAGCACTCATGTGGCACACGATAATACTAACGAAAGAAGATCTGGAAAAATTCAAAGTTCTTCGCATCATAGTACGTATCGGAAGTGGGACCGACAACATCGGTAGGTAGATTTTCTGTATTTTTAAATAAAATACTCATTCGGATCGGCATAAATTTCATTAACGTTTTTCATTGTTTGTCTAGATATAAAAGCGGCCGGTGAACTAGGTATCGCAGTCTGCAATGTGCCAGGATTCGGATTAGAAGAAGTAGCCGATACGACAATGTGTCTCATTCTAAATTTATATCGTCGAACATATTGGTTGGCGAACATGGTGAGAGAAGGAAAAAAATTCACCGGTCCCGAACAAGTGCGAGAAGCTGCGCAGGTAAAACTAAACACAAATTTATGAAGAAGAAGAAGAAAAAATCACGACAATTAACAATATATAAATGTTGTATTTTCAGGGTTGCGCCAGAATTCGAGGCGACACACTTGGTTTGGTTGGCTTGGGAAGAATCGGAAGTGCAGTCGCATTACGTGCAAAAGGTTTCGGCTTAAATGTTATCTTTTATGATCCATATCTTCCGGATGGCATTGATAGAGCTCTTGGAATAACTCGAGTGTACACATTACAAGATTTGCTGTTCCAATCAGATTGTGTATCGCTACATTGCACACTCAACGAGCACAACCACCATCTTATTAATGAATTTACGATTAAACAGGTCAGTGTTATTGCAAATTGCACACACACACACACACAAACGATTGATAAGATTTATAACAAATGATTTCATTGATGACATGAATAGATGCGACCTGGTGCGTTCTTAGTCAATACGGCAAGAGGTGGACTAGTTGATGACGAAGCGTTGGCATTGGCTTTAAAACAAGGACGGATAAGAGCCGCTGCACTTGATGTCCACGAAAATGAACCATACAATGTATTCCAGGTAACAAAATTCAACACAAAAATTTTGCAATTTAAAATTATTTAAAGAGATATGAAAGAAAATTCGCAAATAATAAACGTATGTGTCGGAATGTGAAAACAGAGACTTCAGAGTTGGCAACCTTTGTACTCAACGTATAATCGTTCATTGATGCGTGCAACGCGATGAAGCAATGACTCGTGCAATAACTTATTCCGCATTAAGCACAATTTTCACATCATCACATTGGATGCGTCAATGATACGAAGCCCACACGTTGTTACATATATATACATTTTTGTCTTATTGTTAAAACACAATCTCATGATAATCTATTTTGAATATTGCAGGGTGCTCTTAAAGATGCTCCAAATTTGATTTGCACACCACATGCCGCCTTCTACAGTGAAGCATCTGCAGCCGAATTGCGTGAAATGGCGGCCAGTGAAATGAGAAGAGCCATTGTCGGTACAATTCCAGACGTGCTACGGAATTGTGTCAATAAGGAATATTTCAATCGTACACCGTCTTCGGCACCAGGATACACAGAAGGTAAACCAAAACCTTGATGTAGTCTAAATGCTAGTGTATTGATATAAAGCGATGTAGCGCAAGTCAACTAATTAAATGTAAAAAATTTGATTAAAATGAAAGAGAGAATGAAAGAAAGAGAGAAAAAAACATTAACACACACATATATACATGCACACGTCAATTCGATTATGAAATGTTCGACACATTTACGGTTTTGTACAGAACAAACAAACATGCGTATACGAAATAAATTGCTTTCCATCTTAAACTAGATGCGCGATTTAAATGCAAATAATTAACGAAAAATACACATATTTTTCGACACAAGAAGAAAGAGAGAGAGAGAAAAAAACAAGCAGAAATGTGATCATAAAAATGTACAAATATATTTCAAGTACAAAACGACAAATAAAAATAACGTTCATTCAGATACACACACATACAAGACGCGAACGCAGGAATTAGTTGACGTACGTCTTCATTTGATAATTACTTTCATTTTTTTTCTTATTTTTGTTGTTGTAGTTTTCTTTTTAAAAAAAAGTCCCAATCGTATTTTGACGATGATAGCGTGACCAAATGTTATAACATTGAAAATGTAAATTAGGCAAATCTTTCAATCAATTCTCCAATATGTCCAATAAATAGTGTTCGTACGCTTGGACAAGAGCTTCAAGTTTTGTGATTGAAATTTTCAATTTTTCCACTTATGGTTAAATAAATTAAAAGAAACAACAAAAAACGCCACGGTCAAGTGCGATCTTTTCTCTACCGTCCCACCATAGCCCCCAATATTATACGCTTAGAAATCACATTTCACAATGCAATCCGTAGAATCGATTACGACAATTGACACCGGCAGAGTGAGAAAAAAAAAGATATGTATCCGTTGCGCGCCCTTAAGGCCCATATACCGATCGATATAAGAGATATTTTTCGTTAAAATTTGCATTTATGCTGTAATTGGAAACAAAAAAAAAATTAACAAAAAAAAACGGAAGAAAACAATTTTTTTGTTGTTTGTTCGGTTTTTCTTTTCATTTTTGCTAAACATTCTAATTACAATGTCCTTTCATTCCCATTCATATTCCTCTAAAACATGATTTTTTCTATTTGGTGTAATATAATAAAATAGTTCAAAAGCTACGCACCAAAATCTCAAGCACACACACATATATATTCGCACTACCACCTCATTCACATACCCATCAATTTCTTCTAATAAACAATGATCTTCTCAAAAAAAAAATCAAATCATTCACAACATTTATCCATTTTTCATATACTGGCTGTATATCTCTAAGAAACATACTTGATTATGAAAAGAAAAACTTGAAAACGAAGCACACACATACACACACACTAAACATAAATTGAAAATTTAAATTTGGAATGAATTGAGGATGCAAGACAAGCACGCACCATATCCATAATTTTTTTTTCTCAATTTAATATCATTTTCGCTTAATTGTTTCTTTTTTTCGTTCGTTCTTAATTTAAACAATTTTCACTCGAAAGAAAAATTTGCGTTAGATACATAGTAATTTTAATTTTAGGTAATCGATAATTTGTCATAAAAATTATAAGTTTGCTGTAATTTACGTCTAGCAATGCGAAAGATTTTTTTTTAAATGAGAGACAGAGAATTTTAAGGTGAAAGTAAACACTGATTTTTTTCTATAACAAAATTTGAAATGATGCGTAAATTGAGTGCCATTTATAGAACGATTACATCAACCTATTCAAAAAAAAAAAAAAAATTGGGACTAAAGATATCTTTTCATATCATTCAACGTTGTTTACAGAGTATCCTGATTTGCTGCTGCTCAGCATATTACTGAGAGCTGAGAAATGCTGAGCTCGTGCGGCTAACGCATATGAAAGGGATGCACGATACATATTCCCCTTTCGCTGAGCAGCAGCAAATCAAGATGCTCTGGTTGTTTAGTAAATTTAAAATAAAACAAAGCACGGTAGTAACGGTTGTTTATTTAATGAATTAAGTTTAAAAAAATCTGAAAGCAAGGAATATAGATACTTTTGAAACTGTGTTCGATTGCTTCGTTCGTTGGACTTTTAGATGTAATATTTCTGAAAGAAATTTAAATGAAACATAATTTTTATGACAACACGTCAAGCACACTTTTACACACTCTTTATACATTTCATGCGCAAAACAAAACCCAACAACAAAATAACTGAATCAGCTAAATTATTTGGAATAGATATATTCATGCGAATAGAAATGCAGCAAACATGAATATAACACATGCTTCTTTTTTTGTAAGCCAAAATGTATAAATTCGTTATTGCAGTGTATATAAAGATTTTAAAAGCTTGAAGACAACAAAAAAATATACCCTATCCAAAAAAAAAAATGAAACAAAAATTGCACACAACACACTACACCTGTCTAGGTAGCCTAGGTCGATAGCAAAAAAAAATCGAAATTTACTTTTTATTCATTTTTATATAGCACAAATTTTCATCGACGATTTTGAAAAAATGCTCAAACCAAGCGAATCCATTTGCTTTTTTGTTCGTTATTTCTTCAGATTTGATTCTGAGTGTTATTGGAAAATCCGCGTTTATTTTCGCCTTAACCGAAATCATCACAAGATTTTAGTTTACAAAAAAAAAAATTAAAAGAAATAAAAATGGAACGTGAAATTGAATATAATAATTTCACGAACAAAATAACATTTAAAAAAAACTAAATAAAAACAAATTTGTTTGTTAAATCATAGATTTTATTTTATGGAAATGTAATATTTTCAATTCCAAGTAACACACATTTTTCATGTTTAAAAAGATTACAATTATTACATTCAATTTAGAGAGAAAAGGTAGAAAAAAAAGTAAATCGAAAAGTAAACCCAATTGATTTGAATCAGTTTTTTATTGAAATCTGAACACGTTGTTACGCAACTAGAGTTCTTTTTGATTTTAGTTGAATTTCATAAATTGAATGAAATCAAAAAGAAATGAAATTCGATTGGGCTTCATTGTAACATAAAACAAACATAAAACACACACACACACACACACATTCACATAAGCGTTGTAAAAAAATTCATAAAATGGAATAAAGATTTCTTTTTATATAATTTTTCAATATTTTTTTTTTATTTGTTCACTTTTTGGTGACTTTTGTACATTAAAAAAAACTTTTTCTTAGATTTTTTTTTCACATAGAGGTGTTGTTGATTGTGCAAATTTTTTTTGTATTAACTCGGGATTATCAAGAAAATGTAATATGCACAGAATGAAAAAAAAGGGTTCATTGGCAGGGTAAACTATTTTGTTTTTGTCTACAAGCTAAATAAATTTGTTCGCTACAATTCAAGCACACTTTAGATGAACATTTCGGTTCATTTTGTATGATAATTGTTGTTGATAATTTTTTTTTTGTCTGCTGTATATGGACCAAAATTGCATGGCATATGTTTACAGTCTGTGTAAAAGTAGCAAAGAAACACAAAATGCACTCAATATCAAAAACATGATAGAAACGATAAAAAAAAACAATGAATAGAATATAGATTAAATACCATAAAAATGCATACACAACACACAGGGCTAAATGGTGGATACTATTCAGGAGGATTGCAACAGGCCCATAGCACGACGCCACATGAAGCTCCGCACAGTGCTGGAGCACCAACATCAGTACCGCCACCGTCAGCAGGACCACCGCCAACCGTTTCAGCTATATCAGCTGTGCAACCGCAGGGAATACCACATGGGCTAGTGAGTAAATCTGTAAGTGCGTCCAATCAATATTTTCTACTTCCACTTTTTTGAATGAATCATTTGCCAAAAATGATTTATTCAATCGCCTATTTATTGACAAATATTTTTTTATAATTTGTATTTTTTTATATATTCAAATAAAACAGCCGCTTAGCGCCCCAGATCCAAGTAATCATCATGCAAACAAACCAGAACAGTCTGAAGTGCACTAGTTTTCTAGCTTACAGCATAATTACACTACCTAATTTACAACATTGAGTAGCTGAAATATTATTGTCATCGATAAAAAAAAACACTTCATAGAACTTTTTTTTTACTTTAATTCTTTTTTTTTTCAAAATACATGTACTTTATAAGTTTTGGCTTCAATTTCGATTTCTTTCAATTATGTTCGAATTTATTTTTGTAGCAAATGGAATTCTGTATAAAACAAAAAAAAAAACACACCCAAAAAATTGAAAGAATAATAAAAGTAGTAACTACAATTTAAAACAAGGAAAAAATTAAATTCTCTATCACAATCATATTATATTATAGTTGAGAAGCGCCGTAAAAATGATCGTTATGTAAAACACAATGGAATGCATGAGAAATGCAGTTGCGTAGAGAAAAAATGCAGGTTCTTTCTATATGATAAAGAAGTACTGAACGTTCAGTTTTAATGTGAAATACAATTTGAAAATAATATTAACAACAAAAAAGAGAATCATTTTATATATTTTCGATTTTATTACTTATTCTAAATACACATGCGTGAATGAAAACACACTCAAACTCAAACTCACACACACACAAACCCACTTTAGAGAGCGCCCGTTGACTCCATTTTTTATTTCGAACATCTTATTGCAACAAATGTAACATTTTTTTATAAAGGAGAAAATTTGCTAAAAAAATAATTAAGCATCAAGAATCGAAATGAGGCAAACAATTAACACACACACATGTGTATATGAAGTTCGGATTTTCAGTGTATTTCATTTTAAACGATAAATAGTGATCATTATTGCATATGATTTTTTCTTTTGTTGGATATTATATTTCGGCCAATCAAGACCACAAAATTTAAATTGGAATTTTTGCATTAAAAAAAGAACATTTCCAGTGATGATAATCAAAAGTTTAGAATCGTATAAAAAAAATGTGAACCTCATATATACAGGTGTGCACTACGAATGTGTAAGAAAATTCACAGAACGAATTGATAAAAACATTAAATTTCTGTTAATTTTTCTTTTGTTTTTATGTATTCTTCGAATCACGCTACTATTTCGATCGATTTGACACTAAAAAATATCCAGCTCGCTCCCAATCCAATTTGAGCGCTTGAAATATTTCAAACATCAATGAGTTTTCTACACGTGCTCAAAATGTCTCGGCATCATCAAATGGCAAAAAAAAAGCGTATACGATGCCGTGAACATCAAACGTGATTGTTGTAACATTTCTCGATTTTTATCATCATAACTTCAAATTCATGTTTTTTTGTTTTGAAACGATAAAAGAAAATATATATTTTAGAACGCCCGAAAATTGATTTATAAATTTAAATTCTTAATACTGTATAATTTTTAGTACATTTCATTGTGACAATGCAACCGCAGCAAATGAAAATAAAAGCAACACCCGCAAATTAAATCAAAAAAAAAAAATAAGACAAACAAAAAAATGTTGAATATAATTTCTCTAATTGGAACGATATGAATGTGACTGTCGGAAATATTGAAAATGGAAAATAAAATTTACAAAAAAAAACAATGTTAGTTTGCAACATATTTAAGAAAAATATTGCAAAAATTCCCTGGATTGTGTAAAAAACGAAAAATGAATTTTAAGCAGATCATAAAAATAACAACAATTGAATAAATTAATGAACAAAATAATGTTAGTAATATTACACAGTGTAATACACACACACACACACACAAAGAGAAAAAAACGACATCAACAAAAATTTAAAATGCATGATTTCGTCATTCCGTTTCGGAATCGACGAAACATAAATTATTGATGAAAAATAATAAAAAAATCATTGAACCCTTTTATCTCTATTTGAAATTATTATTTAATATAGTAAGATTGATTATCGGTTAGTAAAGAAAAGAAAACAACAACAACAACAAAACAAATAATTCGATAAAGCAACTAAAAGCAAGATGTGTTGAGAGTGAGTGAGCGAATGAGTGAGAGAAAGAGAAATTATTAAACGAGTATCTTTAAACCCTAAAGAAGCGAGTATGAAAGCAGATAATTTAAAGAAAATGTTTATATATGTTTATTGGATCCTGAGCAAAAAAATGAAATTCTTAATAATAATGATTTAAACCAAACAAACAAAACCTATATGGGGGACAGAGATTTCTTTTTAAATTAAAAACAGAAATGTTTAGGGGAAAATGTAAAATCTAATAGTTTTTATATTTAGCGAATGGAATCGGTTAACAGCACAGAAAAAACAACTAAAAGACCAAACAAAATGGAAAATAACGCAAGATAAATTCATTTTTGATTCAAACAATAGTATTTACGAATCGATTTTTTTCCCGCACATTTTGTTTGTGTCGTTTGCATTGCCGATAATTTTTATTTATTAAATATTAGCAATTTTTGATTCGTCACCGCCCACCATCATCATCATCACATACCAAACCGTAAATTTCAACTGAAAGTACTTCATGACACATACCCATTAATATTCACGTTCCCTACATTTGTTACATTTCTGAAAAAAAAAATCTATTCAACACCACTGTCTCTTTGGAAAAAAAAAATTAACAATTTTGGGTATTTTGGATCGGAAAGAAAAAATGTCGTCTACTTTCTTTTAAATACTCTGATGGCGCTCAAACAATTTAAATATAGCTAAAAAATGTTTTTCCCTTCAAATCTTTATTCCCTCCCACCCATCATTTCGATTTAAAACGAAATGGAAAATAAACGGTTCATCCGACTTACAAAAAGTATACTTTAAAAAGAAAACAATTTATGGAATAATTTTCCCTAAAAAAAAATACAATTTGAAAGAAGAAGAAAAAAATGAAGAAATTCGCATTTGCAGTTGATCATGATGAATATGTGGACGACAGTTAATTTAAAAGAAACACAACAACAACAATTAAAAAAATGAAATCGAAGCAAACGAAAAAGAAGAAGAAGAAATAGAAAGAGAGAAAATAAAAAAAAACATCAAAAAATTATGTTGAAAAGAGAAGAATTATAATTTTTCGTCTACTTTATTAACGAAATAGTTTCTCTATTTTTTAATTGATCTTAAGGATAGTTTTGTATGTTTACGATATAAAAATAATTAAGTTAATTAATAAATGAAGAAATAAGGATGCAAATATGTGGTTTTGGCGTGTATTTATTTGTCACTTTTTTTTTAATTTTTAGGTTCTTTGTTTGAAAGCGGAAACGATTTCATCAGGTTTAGGTGATATTCTTTGGATATGAACGTTGATAGCAGCAAACCACTGATCGTTTGAAGAACTAAAGCATTTATATGACATGGAACTTCAATTTGAATGTTGATTGACTTCAGAGATGGCGTTGATTATTTCACAAAAACAATATTATTATTATTTAAGTAACAAAAAATAATTTAAATTTCCGTTCTAAGAATCGAAATGATTGAAAATTAATACGGCGCCAAAAAATAAACAAGAAAAAAATTATAAAAAAATGTTTGAATAAAAAAAAAATTATTATCATTAAAAGATGTAAACATTTTTCAGACTTGGTAAATGCAACTGGTATTTTATTGCAGTTATTCTAAGATAATAATATCATTTTAAATCGTTCTTTGTTTTTATTTCTAATAAACGAAATGTTTAGTGAATCTGCCGTCTGCTTGATTTCTTCCCTTCAATTCTTATTAAATTAATTTGAATAAATAATGATGGTCCCCCGAATCGTTTTTTTTTTTTTTTTTTTTCAAAAAATGTGTGGGGAAGTTAGTGAAGAAAATGTACAGTTCTAAATGCTTAATTACGGACGAAACAAACGACTAGATTACCCAATATATCGGTTTTTGTTCTTGTTCTCATTTACTTAACATATTTTCCAACAGTAATACACATATTTTATAAATATATAAATGAATGGAAATGTTTTTAATGCATTCATCATCATTGAGTCAAACAGACACACGTACTAATCGGATTTATGTTTCGTTGTAATTTTACTCTGATCGTCTTTGTTGGCTGAAAACATTTTTTAAAAAAAATAATATTCAGGATGTGTAAATCGGTGTAATTGAGTATGATTTTTGGCCAATTTTAGCAGATAATAAACATTGTCATTGTTTTGGTAAAAAAAATATGTATAAACTACAGTCATCGTATTTAAAATTACATCTGTTACATCAGTAGATGTATATTATTTTTTCTTTATCCGAAAAAGAGACACACGCATATATACTAAAAAATGGGAATTGAATTGACTTAAACGAATAGAACATTTATGACAAACAAAATAAAAGTTGTTGAATAATATGAAGACGACGCAGATGGTGATTTTCCAGGGTTGGTGGTCGCATTCATTTTTTTATCAGAATATCGTATCGTCCAGGAGAGGTTAGTACTGAAGTTTATAATCGATGATGTGTATTGCACCACAAAATGTCTTAAGAGTCTAGACGTATGCACTTTGACACATTAAAATACATATATATATAGCTTTATGTTGTAATTTTTGTACAGTGTATAGCTGCTTTCTTGTGTAATCGTTGTAATTCGTCGGCACACGATGAATATGAGGCCGATGAGTATACAGCCGAATGATACTGTTGTGAATAAGTCACCTCATAGTTTGATGACCGTGATACTTGCCGGTGGTGTCATGTTATCATATTGTTGCCATTAGTTCCGTGCACTCTCATGTGACGATTTAAATTACCTGATTGAGAAAAGCTGAATATGTCCGTTGTGTAGAAGAAATGCATATTGAGAGATAAAAGATACAAAACAAACAAATCACTATAAGAATGGATTCTATTTCTTTTGAACCTGCTCAAACAAACACACAGAATGCTCGCATTTAAATCAATGTTGCCCGTGAACTTGTTTTCATCACGTATTGTGTGATTTAGATGAGCACTTGTGTGCAAGAGTGGCTAGGTACTGCATGGGTTATGCGAAAAGGAACGAATGGAACACAAATCAAGAACAATAAAGCAAAAAAAATATGAAGAATGAAAAAATAAATAAATGGAAGTCTTACCGTAATAAACACAATTTGCACTGATATGGTTTCTCGCCGCTATGTATGCGAAGATGCTTTGTCAGCGTCGAACTGTCGGAGAAAGCTTTCTTGCAAGCCCTACATCTGTTTAGAAATGGGATGGGAGATGAGAAGAGAATGATTTTTTTTAAAACTAACTATTAATTTAATTCACAATGAAATACCAAACAGACTGAATAGAAAGCGAAACGGAGACGATTTCCATTCAAATACATAAATTCACACAAATAAAGACGAGCAAATGAGAATTTTTTTACAAAAAGAAATGTAACCGTATCAACTCACCGATAGGGTCTTTCGCCCGAATGAGTGCGCATGTGCGTTGTTACACTTGAACTTTGTGAAAATCTGCGATCGCAAATAGGACACCGAAATGGCTTCTGGCCCGTCTATAAGTCACATTTTGAATAGAATTATTTATGTTTAGACAATAGAATGCAATTGCGTGCCTGAATTATTTTTCTCGTTTTGGCTCGTTTATTCCTATTTTTTTTCACTTCAAAATGCTAAGAAAAGAAATGCCAACTTACATGTGTGCGCACGTGTGCTGTTAAATTGGCTGCTTGTGAAAAGCTTTTGTTGCAATCAAGACAACTAAAAAAAAAAATATTATCGATTAAAATGTTGAATTCATTAAGAGATTCATAATTGTTTACATACCGATATGGACGTTCGCCTGAATGTGTACGAAGGTGTGTTTTTAAGGTGCTTGGTCGTGCATAGGTTTTTCCACAAAGTCTACACAGATTTGGTTTTGTATCGGATTGTATGCAATCATTGCTGTCTTCATCTTCGAAATTTAAACCCAATGAATTTTTGGTATTTCTCAATATTGTTTGGCCACTAGGAAGCGACGATGGGCTACGAGGTGGTGAATAGGTCAAACTGCTATTCGAATAAAATGGTCGTTGTGGTGACAATGACATTTTATTCGAATCAATAACGGTATTCATTTGCTGTTGACCCTGAATTGGTGGCCGAAAGTCGGCCGTAAATGAATATGTTGCACCGCTCGGATAATGTCCAGGACTTAACAGGGCCGGCGGATATAGAACATTAACCGATGATGCTGGAGGTTGTTGTGTCCACTGTGGAAGATTTTTTTCATTTTCATTTTTTTTTTTTAGATCTTTATGCAAGTAGGAATCGAAGAGTTTCTTTCATATAATTTATTTACCTGTGAACATTGCATTGGCACACTATCACTTCCGTATCCATGCATGGTCATGTTCATGCTTACGTTGACGCTCATGCTGGGATACATTGGCGGTGCGGCTACATGTTGATGTTGATTATTGCACTGATTATCATAATAATTCATGGAATTGCAATTGTTTGGTTGGGTTTGCGTTTGGCCCGGTGAGACCAGTATTTGTGGATGCACCGTATATGAGAGTGATGCTTGTGTCGGATGATTGTAATTTTGAGCTTGAGTTTGTATTTGTTGTGGGTCCGGACTTTGTTTCAGTAAATTATAGTGATAATAAAACATAAGACATTTCGTGTCTTCCAGACAATTTCTTTTCAATCGCTTTAGCTAATTTTTTAAATTGAATGTTTACTTACTCATATTTGTATGGTGCTCCGCTGCATTGAGAAAATGAAAAAAGACTTGGCAAGGGATCGATATCCAATGGTGGCAGCGTTGAAAATGAATTCATGTCGTCCGGACTCCAATAATTTGTTTGTGAATTCGATTGTACGCCACTGTTTTTTTTTTTTGGAATAACAGATATTATGTAATTTTTAAAATAAACAACACTATTGATGTACGAAAGCAATTTCATAACTATATTAAAATTAATCGCAGCCTAAGTATGAATTGAGTCGATTTTAATGAACTTACAACTTTATGAGAATACATATGAGTGACGGTGAATGAAAATTTCACGGAATGGCATGGATACAAAAGGAGAGGATAAATTCATTTTCATTCTTAGCCATTAATATGTAATAAATATGTTGTTGAAAAAGTAATTATTAGATTGTTTCAAGGAATTATTACGCAAAAAAATAAGACTTCTTCATTATACGAGTATACTTTTCCCCATACCACCAGTTACATTTCACAAACAAAGATGAAAAACTAGGAGCCATCTTTTTTTAGGTTCGAATGGCACAAATATAATGGCATATAATTTGTAATATCGAAATGTTTCAAATGGCCATTTACGCGTCAGTGAGATTTAATTCTAAGTTCTATAACACATTCTATTGAATATTTATATAATATGATTTTTATTATTAGCTTGTTTGCTGAAGTCAGCTCAAATCAGGACTGGTGGATTATAGTGCTACATAAAACGACGATATTCTAGCTAATAATTTAGCTGAATCGGCTCGCTTCACCCGTAGTATTTCGCATTAAAATAGGAAAAAGATTCATGGAAGAAAACCCACAAAAAATCATCACATTGGGGTCCATCAAGTCCGAACAAGTGTAGATATAACATGCATGTTATGAGTCAGTATCATTATTATTTTTCCCGACGGCATGGCCCAATTTTGAATTTAGAAAAAAAAAACTCGATTCAATTCAGACTCACTTGTCATCACCATTTTTTTCGTAGAAAAAGCAACACATTCCATGTTAAAAACTGTTTGAATATTAACTAAAACTCATCGTCATAGAACATATATTAAATTTTTTTGATAACTCGATTATATTTCTTTTACGTCATTTGTGCCAATTTGGAAATTTATCTTTTCACCAAAACAAAGTTAGAACTTTGTTAGTTTTCTATTGATAGATTTAATTTTTCATAATTTACTTTCTGAGAATCATTTTCTTTAAAACAAACACCGAAATCACTAGTATTATCAAAAAGATCTCTTTGTAGGAATAATGATAAAAAGCGACGTACCTTAGGATGTCAGTGCTGTCAAGACAATTTTCACAATTTAAGTCAGATTCACGCAATGACTGTATTGAAATGGTTGAATTTCCCTGACAACTAATGCAGCCACCGCAACTTGGTGAGCATTCCTGTTAAAAATGTAAGTTCGTTAATGCATAAAATCTTGGAAATATAAATAAGATCGCGTTCTATCCGTTATAAAACATGAAATGGGATGAAAAATACACATAAAATTATTACATATTGCTTGGTCAGTATTAATTTTTTGAAATTTCCAAAATATATACTTTAAAATCAAGTAAAGCATCTGCTGTTTCATGATTTTGAAAATTCATTCAATTTAAAATTCATATGACACCAGAAATTTCAACCGTGTTCAATTGTGGAATTTGTCCAAAATCGTAGTTTTCGTTTATTGGTATTTTGTATTTGGAAATGCATTTCGGACCAATTGTGTGCTTCTTTCTTTTTATTTTTGAGAAAAATCAAACTCCGTGTTCCTCCGAACAATCTGAATGTAAAATGAATTTCATCATCAGTCGTACACAAATATATTTACCCGATTGTTTAAATGTGAGCTCACAAACAAATACAAAACTTTCGACACTTTTTAAAAAACTTTTTTTTTCCAGAGTTTACAGTTCAAGAACATTACGAACTTTTATTTAAATAACTGAAATACGTCTTAAAGTTCTGTGCGGAAAATTTAATATATGTTTTTCTCCGAAAGATGTTTTAAATTTCACGAAATTTGTGCTTTGTGTGCGAAAACATAAAATATATGTGTTGTTAAGGTGAATGAAAACGGAAATTTACCTGTGGACTATCGAGTGGAAGACCGAATAGAGGATTGTTGGGAACGTATCCCATCTCAGCCTCCACAGCAACAGCATCTTCACCACACGAGATATACATGGCTCCACCCTCTTGATTTTCAACGGAATCTGAAAAGCCAAACAAAATTCATCTTTACCAGTCATCAACACCAATTTCCTCCCTTTGTTACGAATTCAGTTTTTTGTTGTTGCGGTTTTTTGTTGGTCTCTTATAAAATATACCCAAAACTGTGTATTTTCATAAAATGAAATATTGAAAATGTATATTATCCTGTGAGATTGCAATTGTGTTCATATTTCCATTTAAATAATATTGATGCAATTTTGTAGAGATCATCGGTTTACTTTTTATTTTATCATTCATCAAGTCAATAAAATGAACAAACCATTAAATATACAAAGAAAAGTACTTTTATTGTTTTATTGGTAAAATGCATGGCATATTAATTTTTTTCGTTGAATAATTTTAATTTGCGAAAGTAAAACGAATTCATTAAATTGACGTTGGTTAAAACTGCGCATGTGCATTGTGCGTACATTTCAATTGCATTGCTACACAAATATTACTGACTATTTCGAAGCGTAACAGGACGACGACCAATAGCAACAAAACGAAAAAGAAACGCCTCCAATGTAGCCGCCATTGCATTGCTTTTTTGTTATTTCGTTTTGTCTGACTGCTACTTTTCTCTTTTTGTTGAAATTCCAATTGGAATGAGTGTGTACACGTTTTTATTTGAATGATGATTTTTTTTTTTAGAAAGAATTTATCATTTAATCTTTAGCGAAAATTATTTTGAAATCATGGGAGTTCAATAGAAAAAGGAAACCACATTTTTTGATGATCACATATGTTCAGTTGTCGTTTATTAAATTAATCAAAAATGATGACCATTCATTGAAGATCAAATTGCCTTGAAACTATATCTATTGAATATATCGAGAAGAGAGTATGTTATTCAGCGCTTATAGCTGAGTAATGTCTGAATAATAACATAATCTCCTCTCGATATTTTCAATAGATATAAAAATTAAAGTGAGAATCATAAGATTTTGGATGTAACCAGGAGACGTTTTACAATACATTTTTTTTTACATTTCTTTATAACTTTGTTTAGCTGAAGGATGTTCAAGAAGTACACTATTTTTTCTTGGTTAAAAAAGGAATGTTCAAATGTTCAATTCTTGCAAATTGATTGCTTCTATAAATCATTGTTGAAAACTTTGTGCATAATAATAAAAGATGGAGAAAACTTACCCAGTTCGGATAATTATTTATCCAATTCAAGTTTTCACAGAGCAAAGTAAATTGAATTAGTTTGATTTGAGGTTGTTTTTGTTTAGCATCACTACTCGAAACTTGGTCAAATAAAATGATCATATTAACTGCACATTTTTTATTGATTGGATAAGAAATAAACCTCTTTATCCAGCTGCAATTTGATTTGTATTCATTTGCATCATGATCAACATCACAAACAGTTCAGCACTTCATTTTTTATCACTAATAAACCGATTTTCACTTAACGATCTTTTGATTTCTTTTACTTTTGGTTTGTTGCATTAAAGGACCAGGTTCAATTGTGTATGTGCTGTGATAAATGTCGCACTCACCTTAACTTCAACCACGATTTTATTCACAATTTTTTCTTTGTTTCTTTTTTAAATTGTAAAATCACAATGCTGATACAGCTTCATTTGCACAATGATCGTTGAAAAAAAAATCGTCTCATACTTTTTCATACATTTCAAAAACCGTCCGATAAATGTTAATTCCGATGTATTTAACGATGTTATTAATTTTGAAATTTTTGTAATTTTTCGAAGCCGGTGTCTGTTTTTATGAACTGACCGTTACTAAAATCAAACACAGACTGATCATAACCGAATGTAATTGAATGTAGAACTTGAGTTAACTGATATTATGCTCATATGTATAACGAATACATTGACGCCCGATATAGATAAAATTACAGTGAATCGTGTGCTAACTAATGTTGATTTTCACCCAAAATACACACTATAAACTACATGCAACAATACATATATAATATGCATGTATAGATAAATACATAAATAACACATCGGCGAAGCAACCACTCAATGAGCACAAAAAATGAGGAAAGAAGAAGAAGAAGCAGAAGGAAAAAAACCACTAATGGCACCAACAGCATCAACATCGCCGAACAACAAGAATTACAGCATTAACAGTAGCATATGCATTAATAATACAATATTAATACGTGTTGAGTATGTGTGTGCGAGTATGAGAGAGTAGTGAGAAAGAGAGTGAGTTGAATGCTTATTTCTTTCTGAGGTTTTTTTTCCCTTCGTTACACCATTACTACATGGACATAAGCAGGGATACGCCACTATTCAACAGCAACACAAAAATTAAGTAAATACAAATACTTTCATCAAACGAAATGAATTAGCTAAAGTGTGATTCCTGCACTGGTATTATTTGGTCTAATTGAGGCATACACAACATGAGTGTGAAAACAAGAGGGTTGAAATGGGATGTACTACAACCAATTGATATAAGTGAATGGTTTTAGTTTGGCCACTACTACGAAAATAAATGCGTGCAATCGAGTGAGATAGCGATATAGACACACGCACACACTTTTATTGGATTTGATCTGAAAATTCAAAACATATGATTATTTCAAATATGGGTTGAAGTGGTTGGTATGGGTGCAATTTAACCAAAACGAATGAAGAAAAAAAACCATACACCCACCCGCTTTTTAGGAGTAAACGCCTTCAAATTTTCGTTTTTTAAGAGTATTAACTATATCTAATTTTGAATTTAATCTACATAAAATGTTGCCAACAAAATTGAAAACGAAAGAAACATCGACCGACGGCGTCCAAACATGCTTTTCACTTGCGTTAATCCTTAAATTACAACCACAAGGCTTGTGAAAGTCACGTGCTCTGAGAAAATGCTATTCATTACTATAATTTCATATCTGTAGCTTTGTCTTTGTGAAAATAGTATGTGCTAATCGCTTTGCTCTTTTCTTTTCATCACACAAACCACGACTCGATGTGAATTATTTTCATTGAAACTTTTCAACTATTGCCATTGTAGAGACGAGGGATCGACAGAGATTATATAATATTGAGACGATGATTCAATGATTAGTTTTGCAAAGATTTTGGTTTGCACAATGTTATTGAAATTGAATCGATTTAAGAACAAGCTAAACAAACGAAAATGCATTTTTCCGAAAATCATTAACATGGTGTCGAATATTCTTCGATTCGTTATGTAACACCTTTTCTCTCAGAAATGACCTATTACAAGTGATTTTCACTGAACAATATAAACTGTAAAATATTCACCTGAAAAGGAAGCCGAGCGATTACAAGTATATTGAAAATCTTAAAGCGACGCCAAACAAACGAATGGAGAGAAGAAAAAAAAACGTTGTCACATTGATGTGCTCGATACAAAGTATATTGATCGATCGGCATTCTATCAATCGGAATCAATGCACTCTCTGTGTGTACGATTTTTTTTTAACTTGCTTGCTACATATCATGGATATCGATACGATATTGAAATAAAAAAAACCAGAACCAGGCAGCTCATGAAAAAAGGAGACAACAAATCGACGTAAAGTATATTATATACAGTGAATGCAGAATTTTTTCTAAAGCCGGTAAACTAAAACCATAACCTCAGAAGTTGTTGCATTATGAATATCTTTTTTTTTAAAGTGCCATACCCATTCAAGTATGATATTACTGGATTGTACGGTCGTGTTTTTTTTCTCTTTCCATTTGCATGCGTATGTGGAAGTACTTTGATTCAGTGTTATTTGAAATTGTGACGCGTTTGAAATACTTTTCAATGTCTAGCCCATTCGGTTGAGGAGAAGTGAAATCAATTCAAGTTACAAACGAATGGAAAACCAAATTCGAAGATGAAAAATGCATTTAATAGTTGTTGCAAATTCGGATTTCCTCAATCGATTTGAAAATCGATATCCTTTTGGGAATGTCTTGTTCGTCTTCCATTCAGACCACTCGGGTTGTTTTCAACGTTATTCGATGGAAAGAGTTTACCGTCTTCATTGCACATGATTGTAACAAGCGACCTGTTTTCAGGAATGTGAACGCAAAAAAAAACTTGAAAAATCATTGAAACAAAGTCGAAAATAATCCAGATGAAAAAGAAGCAGCAACAACAACTACACCGATCACCAAGCGCACTGAATGAACGATGAGAGAAAATAATGACAACACCGATGACGAAAAATTGGCATTGTATGCATTGATTTGATGGGAAAATGTATATACACTGTACACAGAAGCACAAGTACTGGGTCTCAATCATTTTGAAAAATCCACGTTCGGTTCAGTGTACAAGAACTACATAAAGAAGAAGAAGAAAAAAAATCGAAAAGGCATGAAAATTAAATTTTGGTGGTCTTTACTGCTTAGGACAATGATTCTCATCCCATTTGTGAATACTATCATCGAGTTGACAATGGATTTCTGTCAAATTAGGCAAATAACGTATCAGTTTTCATCAACTTTTCTCTTTCTCTCCCGCTCGGTGCTTCCATGAGAAAACATCACAAAATGGAATAACAAATAATTTTTGCAGCATTCTGTCAAAAGAATATCCAAAAAAATGTCGTTGACTCATCGGAAAATGACATCGATAAAAATCGGTTGCGGTTATTTGTTTGCTATTCACACAGTGATAGTGATCATGGTATCATCATGACACCACCAGTTCATTGCTACTTGTTCGAATTACATCTCACAAAAACTGGCGTATATTAATATCAAAATTGAATGATTGTAAGGCGCATCATTGCAACCGGAACTGTTTTAGAAATTCTTATCGCATCGCTGACAACAGTTTATACACGTTTCTCTTTGTAACTGTTATTTATTCATTTTGTCATCATCAAAGTAGGCTCTATTAATTTTTTTATGGAATTTTTTTTCGGGGAAATTCATATAGGGAATTACAATTCTTGTTGAAAAAGAAATACAATTATATTTATTTGTGAAACACTTTGCATGCGAAACAAAAGAAAATTTGAGTACAAAAGTATTCTTTTTGATTCGATGCCCTCGATATTTGTTTCTGCAGCTTCATTTTTCTGGTTTGTTTCTATTTGAAATCGGAAAACCATGCGTTTTCCTTTGTCAATTCCATTTCAATCAACATAATAAGCAATAAGACAAATGACAACATCTATATTTACATTTCAATTTGTGATTTGTGTTTTGTGAAAATTAACCCAAAAAGTAAATACAGGTGGTAAAATTTAACAAAAAAAAAAGTAAAATGATCCCATTACCATATCGTTGTGTGCGACGGAGTTAAATCACATCTCGATCTTACAAACTTCAATTGAAAACGGCGCAATTTACTAATCTATCTCAAATGTGTGTCTACCGTTCATAAAAAGATACAAGTGTATCTAATGTACACGCTTAACTAAATCACAATGAGATCATTTTATTGAGCGAACGCCGGTTGTGTAAACGGTTACCGTCGAATTTATTTGTGCAAATAGATGGGGTCTTGGTTAGGGTGCAATTGTCGAGATGCCAATCTAATTTGTAATCAACCATATAAACGTATGTTTTTCCCTCTGTATACGTGTGTGTGTGGCCATGTAATTTAAGTATGTGATATTCATTGTCTCTCCTTGATATGATGATCTATGTGGTTACATCAACCCTATTGATGCAAACGGGATGAAAAAAAAATTACACGAAAAGAATTTATTTCCCTAGTCTCATGGTCAGCGACTTTACTGATTTTAAATCAGAACATAAATGCTGATCACACGACTGTGCTTCCGAAGTACAAATCGAGCAGATAAATCGAAACCAATTGCATGTCTCGGCCCTAAAACATGTGAAACAATTAATTGTTTTCAATCATTTTGTGTGTGCATCAATCCATAAAATGTCAGAAATAGCTTCCTTTTCTATTATTATCCTTTTTACAGTTCACTGGCTACTTTTGAGTAAACACTCCACACCAACCACAATCAAAACAGGTGAATAGAAAGTTATTCTCAAATTTCGATGTGACTTGAAAAGTGAATGAAACATTATGGACGTTTTGTATTTCGTTTCACAATTCAATGTCGCTTCATCAAATGGCGAACATGTAATTTTAGACTTTTCAATTTTAATTTTATTTTTATTGTTTGAATTCTTACTCATCAAATCAGCTTCGGTTTTCTTTTTTTCACAGTACGTGAAATTAATATTGTGATTATAAATATGACCACGTGAACCGACGTTTCTATTTTGAGAAAGTTTTGGTTTTTCTTTTTGATTTGATTAATATATTGAATTTCCAAAAAAGGGAACAGGATTTAGTTTTCTTTTTTGAGAATATTTTATTTCCAAATTTAGTCGATTTCCGTAGTTCATTTTTGGATTTCTCGACTACTAACAAATTTAAAATGATTTTTTCATAGGCAGACAGTTTTGGTACGTTTTCGGCAATTGATTGAACCGAAGAAAGAAAAATCAATGTACCATTTCACTTTTGCAACTTAAGCATCATCTTAATAGTCAAAATAAAATTATAATTTTATCTCTAGCAATGCAAACAGTCGTACTATATATTTTTTTTCTTGTTGTTTCATATAAATTTGTGTATTTAAAACCATGTACCACACCATGCATGCTTTTCATCATCTCGTCTCTGTTGGAATATTTTTTTTTCTCTCTCTCTTCTATCGTCAACTGTATAATATGATTCGCCTACCGCATGACTGCGTTAAGCCACCTATAAAAGTATTAAATTACCGAATATCTTGTCTGTTGTCTTCATACACCCAGTTAATCATTCAACAATGTATTATGGACATTTTCATATTGGCATTATGTTATTTTAACTGCTGCTGTTGCTTGTAAAGCAGCCGCTACCGCTACTCATTGTCGTCGATGATGTTTTTGTTGCTGCTTCTTCTTGTGCGTACCGAGCGATTCGATTTGAAATGCAATCTGAATGCGCATTTTCACTCAACGAATTGGCGTTGACAATGTATATATATTTGATTGTCGTCGAAATTTTCTGTATGGGCCGGGAATAAAAAAAGAAAGAATTCCTTTAAGCCAAAGGTAAGCCAAACCGAATAAGCCAGAAACGAAAAATAAAAAACATCGGACGGAAGTGTAGTGTTTACATATATATCCTTTCAACACAATTTTATTTTGTCTGTTCAAGTGGTCAGTTGTTTGAACATTTCAATACTTACACTTGATATGACTCAATAAGAACATCTGAAGAATAGACACGAGCGTGGAATAAATTACAAAAAGTAATTTGACCAAAAAGTCAGGCAGAGAAAAAAGGTGAGAACAAAAAAAGAGAGAACAATTTGTGGAAAAACAAACCATAAGCTGAAACAATAAGACACAAACAAATGGTTCAATTGGTTTAGATTTCAATATCGAATGAGAACCAACAACAAAAGCAACATAAATATATCGCTACGATGACGTTCATCATTTCCTTTTTTAGTAGCAGCATTTGCACATTACAATTTCGACAACATTCACTATTGATTCATTTTCGAAGACACACCAATTACTTAATGTACTATTTTTACGAGCATGCTTTTTTTCTCGTTCATCGTCATTGAAAGTGTCAAAATAAATTCCGTCTCTCGTTCCTTTATTCATATTTTTGCAAATTCGTTTTTGGTAATGAAAATGAGAGACAGAAAAAAGAGAAGAAAAAATGTGTTCATACACACAGCGAAACGCTAGATATCGAATCTCTTTCCGTTTTTGGTTTTCCGTACAGATTGGTGTTTGAAATGGGAAACAGACGGACAGAGAGAGAGAGAGAAAGTAAGAGCGAGAGTGAGTGCTAGAAAAGAAGTGGTAAAGTGAAATTATGTGGATATGTAACTGTATGGGATTGGGTCTTTTGTAATGTACTATTCTACATGCACAAATTATAAATAAGGCAGCAATAATACTAATGAAATGAAGCCACCTAACATATCGATAAATATTGGTTTTAGAAGCCATTGCAATGTGTAAAATTGTGTGCGTTTTCTTTTTGACGAAATGACGAATGAAATGGTTACTACATCAAAACGTAGGTGGAAATAGAAGTGGAAGTGGTAACGGTTCAGTCATATTGATTGTTTTCTTTCTTCTTCATCTCTCTCTCTCTCTCGTTTTTCGTTTTCCGCTTCATTTTAAGTTGGTGGCGCGCATATTGAAAATGATTCGTTTGGTCATTTGACGGTCGAAAATTCGATTTGTCTAACGCGCATATTAGATGTTTAACATTTGACTTATTGGCCTGTCTATTGGCTCAAATAGCCATGGAAAATGTTTTTGTGGATGACAGCCATCGAATTTCTAATGAAATTAGGAGGAAAAGAAGGGAAAATAATTTTTTCAGCTGATCTCAATTCGTGCGAGAATCGTATCGAATTTCGTTGGACATGTATTCATTTCGTTACCCTTCATATAAACCAAGTGACGTTAAAACGATCTAAAACTTACCATTGTTTTTATTCTTTAGTAATAACAATTATGATCCGCATCAGTTTTACTTACAGACTTTTAGCACGTGCTTTCGTTCCCATCATACGTATGGCCCATTTACAGCCAGCACCAGTTCAACGCGAATTTTCTTGTAAAATTTAATACCAAGGCTTTAGTGGAATTTTATCTAGCATCCATAAACGTATGTCATTTTCACTGCATGTCATCCGTTTTTAATCTCTACATCCTTTAATTACATCGTGAGTGTGTCTGTGTTACCCTCAATATGGAATGAAGTGCCTTCATATTGATTTCAAATGAAATGGCTTGTACATTTTGGAATTTTGATAAAAAAAAATGATTTCAATTTTAATCTGAAACATATATCAAATAGCAGCGCTTTTTTTCGTGTCATACCTGTTTTTACCTTGACTTCTACATAATATTGATTTGGCCACAAATAAGTACCATTTCAACATTTTAATTTAATGATTCGCACAATTTCAATAATAAAAAATGATTTTTATAACTCAAGCGGTATATACTTAAGCCTTTTTTTTACAAACTTTGTAATATAAACTAAATTTTCAAAAATTTATTAACAATTGTTACAATGAGCTGGGTTGATTCATTCTGTCTTTATGTCTTTTGATACGAAATTAGAAAACAAGAAACATTGATTCGATTTCTTTTGCATTTTTAGCCGATTTATCAAATTATTTATTTATTTTATAGATTCTAACATATATCTCATTTTGAGTTCAATTTGGCTACCATTTCCAAATGAAATCTGAACAGTTAGTGTCTATTTGTTTGATATTGTCTTTAGCTTCATTCTGTTTGGTCGCCAAAATTTTATCCACATTATTGAATCATTTTTGGATGATTTGAAAAATTACAATTTGCTTCGAATTAAAGTGAGACGTTTTAAACGAGTCCTTTAAGTTCGATATTAAAAGTAATGATGTAAATGGGAAAAAGTAAATGTTTGAGATTAAGCTCGAGGGTTGTGCTAACTTATATAAAGTCATTTTTCACCAAGTAGAATTTTTAAATTCTCTCAGCTTAGGAAAAGTCGTGAATAAATTCGATTGCTCAAAAATGTCCTGTAAATTTTGGTACAACAAAGAATCGCAATACCCAAAACCGAACTGAAACATTGATATCTATTTTAAGTATTTATTTTTGACTAAAATAGTTTTAATTGTTTGTGAGAGCCAATTGTTGAATGATGCGAATATGCGCTACAGTTAACCACGTTTAAAGATTTTTTACGTTAAAATTTGATTCAACGCTTTGTTTAACGTTTAGCTTTTCAACAGAATAATTGGCGATGAAACCTAATATCATTTCGATTTCAATGGCACAGAATTTGTTATCATTTTCAAAGAATCCATATTTGATTTCATGAATTTGCTTCAATCAAGTTTTCACTGCACATTGTACTATAAAATGTAAAAAATCTTTTTAAATCATCTGAAAATATGTTCATAACGCAGTGCACATGTATGTATTGCATTTTTCTGCACATATCAAATATTTTGATTTGAATAAAACTAAAAAAACTAAATGTTTACTATAAATATTGTTGTTTATTGGACAAAATTCGTGGGTATTGATAACGATTGTTTTCTTGAAATTTTAAACAAATGAAGATATTTCTTTTTTAGTAATGCATTGGTGTATTGGTAATTTCCACTTAACATGCTAATTTTTCTTTGGATCTTCGTTGCTATTCAGTAAACATGAACCATTCCATACAAAAATGTCCAGAATAATACGTATGTGCAGAGACCGCCTAGAAATCCATTGGTTAACAGCGACTGTCGATTTATGAAAAATTTCTTCCAATTGGAGCCCGTTTTCAGCAACAGTAAACACCACAAACCCAATACTGACACCAGATAAAATAAGAAGCCAATGATTCCGGTAAGGCCCATAATTCCTGTTTGGATGACAACGAAAATAAAACGTAAATGACATCAAATGCAAATGATTCAATGAATAATTATTTCTGATTCATACCAGCTGTACTACCACTTAATGCAGCCATTGATGTTCGACAATATTCTACGGCCGATGCATTGTGTCTGATTGCTGATTCACTGTATGCAACAGTTTCACCAGATTTTGATTCACGTGTACGCACTCGATTCGACATATTTCTCTAATACTTTCGGTTAATTTCAAAAATAATTCGATTTATCTTTAATTGTTCTGTGACTAGGAATGTTAAAAAAAAGAGAACCACAACAAATTCGTATGATTTGTGCACAGTGCGATATATCTGTCAAAGTCACGAATTTTTTTTTTTTCATTTTTAGTTGTTGGCTATGCATCATGTCAACCACTGAGCTTTACGCATCGGGTAACACCGCAACATACACAACGAATACTGACAATGTCAAAACAAACTTTCTAGTGAAATCAAACAAATGGAGAGAAACATAAAAACATCTCATTCTTAGTTCAATAGATCACATGTTTTTCGTTTAATTCCATCAATTTGTCGATTTAATTTATTCGACAATTGTATTCATTTAACTGAATTTTGATATCATTTCGTTTTGTTTTCAATTTGAGTTTGTATTTTAGTTTATTTGTACAAAGACATGGCTCACATTCAATATGTTGATTCATTGATACGTGAATATATGCTGTTCCGTGGTTTCTCAAATACATTAAAAACATTTGATACCGAATTGAAAACTGATAAGGACAAAGGATTTCGCGTTGATAAAATCATCGATCAAATATTGAACGCAATTAATACACAAGATTTACATTTGTTACGTGAAATATGGAATCATTTAGATGGTCATTTGTTTAGCAAATTGGAGCATTCATTTGCATCAGGTAAATTGAATAAATTTTCTAATTTTCAAACGAACAAAACAAAAATAAAATGTTGTTACTTTTCTGTAATGCAGCTGTGAAAAAACTGGAATCGGGTCTATTGAAATTGTATTTGGTAACGGCGTGTGTGGCTGGAAAACAGGATAAAATCACCGATTTTTTCACCAAACTAGCACCAGAACTACACTTACAATCCGAATGGCGAGAATGGTTTTGTAAGCATTCAAAAAAAAAACGTTTAATTTTTAAATCGAGTGACATTAACATGTGTTTCATTGAAATTTTCAGTCTTTCCATTTTGTAAAAATCCCGATGAGCATGCAGTGTTTGCGGTGTGTTTTACAAAGCAATGGCAGGATACATTGTTGGTATCTTTGCATAATTTTTTGGCAACAATATTTCAATGTATGCCACAACCAACATTGACCCGTCTCGATACCGAAGCCACACAAATGAAAAAACTTCAAGAGGAAAATAATTTGCTACGAAATCGCATTCAATCGATGGGCAATCAATTATCACAGCCGTCTGCATCATCGTCGCCAAAAAGCAATTCATCGACAACACATCAATCACGACGTTCAACGTTCCACGAACAAAAACGAATGACTGACACCAAACCACACATACAAATCAATCCAAATCCAAATACATTGAACGATGTCATTCCATTTTACATTCCACCGCCGCCACATTTGATTGACGATTTTTATATAATTGCTCAAGAAACATTGAACGTTGGAAATATGGCCGATTCACAGGCGCGCAGTTTGCGTTCACTCATTCGAAATATTAGCTCGGGCGGCAGTCCAGTTATGGGCAGAAAGGAGGGTATACTTACTTTAAAAATTACTATTCCATTATTGAAGAATGCTATCCATTCTTTCGATTATTTTTCCATTACATCCATTACGTTCCATTACATATTAATTAATTTCCGTTCTTTTCTTTGTGATAAACCCTAGGCAGAAAGGAATCATTGGACCGGGGTAAAAAGAGATCGGGCAGTGCTGGCAGCCGATCTTGGAATTTACACTAGATATATATAGTTCTTTCTCACGCCCATTTACAACAATGCAGCAGTGAATGCACAAAATAGCAGAGCAGGGCGAACAAAATGATAGTAGAAACGTCGTGTTGGTATGACGACAGCAGCCAAAATAAAACAAAGATGATATTGTAGAAGTTAGCAATTTCGGTCCAAAAAAACAAATTATATCAGTTGATACATCTAGTAGAAATATTTTTCTGTGTACGCAATAATTTAATAAACAAAATGCAAATTTTCTTTTTGTCGTGATCGTCCACCGTGTTACCAAATAATATATAATCAACGAAAGAATGAAAAAAGAAACTGTATTTTTAGTAATATTTAAAATCAAACCGAATTGACTTACACTCATTCAGTTAGAAACAAATATAATAAAAACGATATCTTGATTTAATGAGACATTTTGTGTATTCATTCGTATTCAAATATTAGACGTTAATTGTTTCAATAACGTGATTGCTCTTTATCTTCAATTTTCACTCCAAGCAAATATGTGAATATTTGTTTGCAAATCATTTAAATCGTTTTAAAACTCTACTATAACTCCTGGTTGATTTATTTACTCAGCCATTTTTGAAATAAATATTCATTCACCTTGATTAATGCAACAAAATAAACTGAATTGTTTTCAAATATTTTGTTCTTTTATTTTATGCACGTCAATTACGATTTATCATTTAAGCACTTTTTTTGCTCCATCATTCAAATTATTTTAATTATTCGATATCATCTGTTTTTGGCTTTGAACTATTACTAACTAAGTTTGGAACTTTACAATTTGAGTAAAGCACAAATAAATGAGAAATTTATTTGGGATAATTGCACTTATCAATATTTTGCATTAGAAAAATAAGTCTTTATCATTTTATTCTAAAGAACAGACCTTTGGCAGAAGGATACACATTTTTGAAGCGAACTGAGCTCACTACAAACTACTGCTTTTTTATAAATGACAATTATGCATTTTAATGGTCTTTTAAATATTTTACAAGGAATAACTCTCCATTTTTTCCATCACTCATTGATGATAATATAATTTTGGTAATATTTAACTAATTAAATGATTTTGATCGATAATTCTAAGCTTTAAATTCGTTCAATTCTTTAAAAAAAACTAATGTGAAAAACTTTGGTTTGCAATATTCCTCAGGCACGTATTGGTCTATGTTTCTGTTTTCTTCAGTTTTTGATGTCGAAAATTTCACGTAAAAGTGGTTCGACCCGATTTGGATTGACGTCCAAATAAACGGCAATCATAGCATCCTTAAGACATTCCAGCTCTTTGATTTTTTGAATTAATTTTAAAAATAGCGATTTAGCTTCACAACCAGTGTATATACTCTCCAAATATCGTCTTAATAGGTAATAGTAGGAATTCTATTGAATATCAGCAAAACAATTTATTAAGCAAACTAAATGTAAAGAATTTCTTTGTAAAAAAAATTTGAAAGTGATGTGTACCTGTTCCAAAATAATAACATCAGCGTGAACAGTTTTTGCTCGTGTCGGTGTGAATAGAACAATTGCACTCATGATCAAAATAATATTTTCATCTTTTCGTAACCGTGGTTCGAATGTTCGTATAAAATTCTCATACTCTTCGTATACATTGTTGCTGGCCAATTTGAGTACATCACTTTTTATCGATGACATAATTTCCTTGCTGTGTGGAATATTCCAAATACAATGATCAACGTCGTATTGCATCATTGAGCGCAGAATCATCATATCTGAAAATGAACAAAATTACAATTAAACTCTTTCGAAATCAAAATAACACTTTTAACGATTGTATTTGTCTTTGGTCTAGTTCAAACTCTAGACGTTATTATCGAATACAAACCATACTTAACAAATCGGTGTTAATCTGCGATGCTCATGATAGAATTTGCAGCAAAGAATTGATTAATTCGAATTAGTTGCTAGTTGTTGAGCTCGCGATCTATTCGTTCAATGACATTTCATTTTCTTCATTGAAAAATCGAAAGTTCAATCGCAAATTCCATGCAAAAAAGTGGAAATGATAATTCAAACTCGTTTTGTATGCGAATCATTCGAAATTTTCCGAAAACTTAATGCTAAAGTGATGCTATAATTCGAAACACAGTGATACGACCAAACGTTATAACGCATGCATAACGAGCGATGCATTTTTTTTTAGTAACAATTGACGAACATATACATATTCTGCGCAAAGAAAAAATACTTACCGGTACAACCACCTTTCAACAAAGCCACCTGATCCTCTTGGCACATGCTCTTAAACGCGCTAATTTTCTTAACCACTTTTATAAGTCGCTTGATTGCGGTTGCCGTTAAATTTATTAGCGTCACAAGCTTTGGATCCTCGGGATTTTTTTCCGTCTGTCAGAAATTGTTCAGTATGTAAAAAGTAATAATATTAATAGAAAAGATTTGTTTTTTTTTTTATCAGTGTAAATGTTCTATTGTTGTTAATTGGCATCTATCTATTATTTTGCGAACTCATTCATATTAAATGAATGTTCAATTGAAACTGTTGTCTGCCAGGTGTTCATTTTTATTTTGTCAACAACAACAAATTAAAAGAAATGTTGTTGTGGATTTTTTTTTTATCAGCGCCAATCGACTACTGTGTTATCAGCGATCGATTCAATGTGATTACAAATGCAAAATGTTCGATTAAATGAAAACAATGAAAACATTTGGATTTTACGCGACATTTATATAAAAAAAAGTCATACCTTTGCGGTGGATTTATTGCGTTCTCTCACCAACGGCGTTATATCCTCGTCAAGTGGAATGAACAAGGCTTTATAGGCAACAATTAATTCGTTCAATTTGGCCGTTTCGTTGTCATTTAATTCCCGATTGATATTCGACTCTTTGCCGTGCACATTCAAATTGTATTCAATTTTGATGGCATCGTTTATGATCGATTCCAATGTATTTGAATGTGCATTGCTTCTAATAACGCCCGTTTCAATGGCATTACTACTGGTTGGAATGGTTTTTGAATGGCCACAGTGTGATGATTCACCATACATTGATTGCAATAAATTTCGTACGATTGGACTTGACATGGTTTTTGTATGTTGTAATGTATCGGTTACAATATCATTTGTTTGAAATTCCATTTGTCTTGCATCTGAATTTGTTGTGGTCGCGGTCGCTTCATTTGATACCGTGAGATGTGTTAAATCGTTGCTGTCCATTTTTGTCGTCGAATCCACCATCGTAATGTCAACCATTTCATTAAGCATTTTCATCGCTTCGGCCGGTGCATTCATGAATTTATTTACAATTTCGCTGGCATTGTCCGGAGTATTCATCAATTGTTGAATAAATTGTAAAACATCGGACGGTGAATTAACACATTTTGCAATGATCTCAAGTGCATCGGTCGGTGATGTAATGAATTTGGTAAAAACGGTAAGCGCATGATACGGTGAATTCTGGTGAGGGCAGATTTTGTTAATCAATGTTACTTAGCGAAGAGATAGTGAAATGATGCTATTGTGTATAAAAGTTAACACAAATAGAATCACATTTAACGTCTCAGTTTACAAATGGAAATGAAGAAAAAAACTCACAATAGCATCAAAACATGCTCTCTGGTAATTTTTATATGAAAAGAGAAGAAAAAAAACCCAAACTTACCATAATTTTACTAATAATTTTCAATGCATCACCGGGTGCCCCAATTAAATAGCCAATCATTCGCATTGCGTCGCGTTGTGATTGAATGATTTTTGTGACAACTTCCATTGCGTATTTTTGATTTGGCATCAATTGATTTATATAATTACTGGACTCGGTCGGATGATTTAGAAAAAAGTTAACAATATCACTGGTATTTGAATCTTTTGATGGATACTCCAATCGTGTTTGTGTTGGTTGAAAATCCATATGATAATTATTATTTGTTGTTGATGAAATGGTATTTGTAATCGCCGATGGACTGTTATTACTCAAGACGGTGTTAATTGGTGGCGGAATCTCTGTTTGATACGATATTGGTTGCATGGGTGATTGTGGTTGCAATATTTGTGTTGGATATGCAACGGATGAAATGGTTGGGCTCATTGAACTATTCGACAGAACGCTTGGAATGGATTGGAATGCATGTAGGCAATCACTGCTCGAACTACCTGGCGACAAATCCATTTGACCCGTGTCCATCATATGTTCTTGTGTCCAAAAATCGTTTTGACTGTCGGTGTCGTTGGTTTTAATTTTATCGTCATCACTTTTTAACGCTTTTGATTTTCTTTTCACTCGATTCTGTTCAATTTTTTTTCGTTTCAATAATTTATCTTCATCAGTCATAATATATTCTTTTCGCATTCCGATTTTAAAGCATTTTTGCAAGCGACATCGTTGACAAAAACGACGTGTAACCACCGTTATAGCGCACGATTCATCAAATGGACATGAAAAATCCTTGCTCGACAATGCATTTCGTCGAAAAAATGCCTTACAACTTTCGCATGTAACCGCATTAAAATTATATCCTTGAAAATCGACAAAGAAAAATTCAATGAGTTAAATGTGTGCATTTTTTTTTTAATTCTGTGCAACAAATTTACCGAGCGCTTTATCACCGCAAACCATACACACTTTGTCCATTTGTGACATATTATTTATTTTTGTGCAATTTATTCGACAAAATGAAAGATTGTAAAGAATACGTTAACAAGCGGGCACCATCATCGGCATTTGGCATCGGCTCGAAACATTTCTCACACACACACACACGGTGGCCTGTGGATTGAACTTGTTGATTTGAGATATTGACGACAATAAACAATCGAAGAAAACTAAAATATGCGTGTAATCGACACCAAGTTACACAAGTTACTAATGATTACAATTGAGTGGTTGACTGACGAAAAAAAAATGTAACAACAACATGTATGGCTTGTGTATAGAACGTTCGCATTCGTTTGCAAAGGCTATTATCTCCTCGCTATTCGACAAAAACAAATGTAAGTGTGTTGTGTATTAATGCCGAATCGATGATATGCATTGGTGGCGGTGATCTCTTTATAATGGTGTTAATCATATCATCGCTAAATTGATGTATGACGCTACACAGTCTCACACCTGTAAAAAACAAGACATTCGTCTCGTTCAAAAAATATACCATCCAAAATATTTTGTTTTTTGTGGGACGTTTTTTTTTCGCTTCTAACACAAGTCAAAACAATGAAATTTGCTACGTATTGCAAATTTGAACACAATTATTCACAATAATACATAGAACACATATTTCAAAATTGAATTTTCGCAGCAGTGGCTACAGCAAAATATTCAATATTGTTCAATCATGTTTTTATAGAATTTATTCGTTGGTGAGAAAAAGAATTGAAATATTTGGGCATTTGTTGAACCGAAAACTGAGTCACAAACAAAATTTAATCAAATCAATCTAGCGGAACTGTCATTGTCAACGAACAGACGTGCTTTCAATTTCATTGATAATAGAATTAAACGAGGGAATTCAATCATACCAACAGCTAAACGTTGAAAACACTTTCAAAACCCGACAAATCGATTTTCATTTTCTTTCAAATGTTTGCCGGGTAAACAATCGCCTTTTTGCATGAATACCACCATTTTTTATGTTTCTAATTAAAATAAATTGACTCTATCATTCAACAAATCAAATAATGCATAAAAATAATCCAAACAAAATTGTGCTATTATCATGAAGAAAACGCCTGAATTTATTCGATTTGTCATATTTTAAACGATGAATAACGGGACTTCCGTTAGTATTTCCCATTAGAAAAATCATTTGTTTCCATTTAATTGACGATGAATGAAAAAAATATGTGATTTTTCTTAGAAATTGAACAGGAAACAATATTAACCCAATTTCATTCAAGTTGCAGTTTTCATTCAACAACATTTCCAACAATGAATAAATATTTGGGTAATATGTGCTTTTTTTGCTAATTAAATTTTGTCATAAGTTTGCATAAAAAATGATTTGTATGCACTCAGCGATTTCCGTAATTCTTTGTTTTGGTTTTCGTTTTTTATTATGGATATATTTTTGCAACGAACATGACCTAACTTTCATTTTATAATAATTCGTTTGGCAAGTTTTAGCTTCAGTTTGAAACATTTCGTTGGACGAGAAAGATCGTCGTCTCCAGATTTGTGACATAGTAGATTTGATCAAAAGATTATCTTTTTTCGTACTTTGTAATAAATTGTATCAAGAAAAATGTTCAAGTTGAACATAGTGGCTTTGTGCTTTGTGGCCTGGGTGTCTAGATGCAGTGGTGATGATGTTGTCGTGCAAATGTTCTCAAAAAAACCGATTAATTACATCAGTGAAAAGTATATTAGCTATTCCATCGACCCGAATGAATTGCTCGAAATGAGCCAAGAACGAGAGTGAGTCTTCGACTAATTTAATACCATGCAAAAAGAAAAAAACAAAAAAAAAATTAAAAAATATTTTTTCTATTTTTTTTCACATCGATTCAAAAACAGAGATGGCTTCATATATCGCATGATGGAATCGGGACCGTGCTATTTGAAAATCTACGGCAACTATACGAATAAAATGCAGTTGGCTGGCAATTTCATTGACCTGAACTCGTCCAAACTATCGCTGGAACGATTGAAAGATGTTTATGATATACTTCGGTAAGTAGATGTTAGCCATTCCGTTCTACTTGTTCTTTTTCTGGCCAATTTTCTCATTTCTTTTTACAAAATTTAGAATCGCCGGCATAAAACCAGTGATCGCATTGCCGTACGATCCAAACAATTGGAATACACGAAATGTGATGCGAATTTTGGGAAAAGTCAGCTTATTGGAGATGAATGACATTACATGGCAATTGGGAGCGAGTAAGTTTCAAGAAAAAAAAAATTATTTAATGAAACACAAATTTTCCTAACAAAACTCGATTTCATATAGATTTTCATGCAAAAGATGCAGTCAGTTACATCGACGATTTGAATACATTGAAATTGATTGTCGGCGCATTTGCAACGAAAGAAAGCAAGAAAAATTGGAGCGTTGTTGGATCGGATATCACAGTTGGAAGCAGTGAAGATGAAGCTCGAATGTATTCCGAACTTTCCAAGTATATCGTTGATGCTGTTGGATGGTCACAGTAAGTTTTCTTTTTCAGTCGTTTTTTTTTCTTCGAATTTTGTTTACATGTGTTAATTGCTCCGTGATCATTTTTTCAAATTCTCTCCTAGATCAATCGAACTCAGTTATTCGGATGAAAATGTTGATGATTTTTTCTCCAGCATGAATGTGGATCCAGCATTGCGAACAATTTTGAATGGTGAATCCCCAATTTGGCTATCACTTTTGCAAAAAAATACCGATGTAAAGAATCCATTGACGCACATGAAGCAAGGACTGAATTGGGCGCAAATATTGGGTGATGCAGCGAAAAATGGATTCAAAGTGATCTATACGCCAATCGATAAGCAAACATGGTACGAACCAACGATGAGCTATTACACCACATTACTGCACAAACGGATCATCGGTCAAACGGTTTTCGATACGAAAATGTTCAACGGTAATCGATTCGATTCGCATTTCTATGCACACTGTACCAAAAATATGAGCGGTTCGTTTACATTGTATGGTGTTAATGGTGCCGATTCAAGTCTTGACATTACCGCCAAATTGCCATTCCGTTCGGGCACCGCATACTTGGAATTCATTTTAACAGTCGGTGTGAATGGCAAAGTTTATTTGAACGGTGCCGAAATTATTGAACCAACCGTTTTAACGCCGCTCGTGAAATACAAACTACCAGGAAAAGGTGCAATGTTATCTATGCCAGCCCATTCCGTTGCATTTTGGGTATTTACCGCCGCAAATATTCCCGAATGTGAATCGGTCGCACCAATTTCATTCGATTTTGAACAATCAGAAGAGCGAACCTCATCGGAACATCTTCTTCAGCAATTAATTGTCGAAACGGTCGACAATGATGAACAAACCAGTGCCAATGAGGAAAATTCAATCAGTCGCTCAAAACGATCAACAAACATTGAAAAGGATGGTGTAAGCAATCGAATTCGACGAAACACCGAGAATAGCATTGGCAAACAGAGTGAGTATAATGCAATTGAAATGAACGATGAAACACAGGAACGCGATAAACGCTACGTTGGCGTTTCAAATTTCATCTATAACAATATCGACGATATGAAACGACGCAGTATATTTGCACCGTATAAATCGAAATTGGAATTGCCAGCAAAACGAACGAAACGAGACATCTTGCGAAATTTATTTGATAAATTCGATCTTAAAAAGACCGCATTCAATTTCAAAACACCAACATTGGGATCGCTTAAATTGGGCAACATAGGTCTTTTACCATCCATTTCAACAGTACATGATGTTCTGAATCCGTCCAACAGTAATAACAAAGAACAGAAATTATTCGATCGAATTGAAAATCCCGAATTGCCCAATGGTGATGTGCACTTTGAACTTGCCGAAGTTGTAACCGAACCAAATGAATATGCAGCCGCATTGAATGCAGCAAATCGAATTGTCGAAAAACCAAACACATTCATGCCATACAACAATTATGCAACACCGGTTGCCATGCAAAATCAAAATTCCGTTCCAATGGTTGGTGAGTTGACCGAAATGGCTGCAAAAAGTGAAATAGTTACCGCTGCTCCAGCTATTCGTGCACAGGCCGCTCAAGCTCAAAGGCCACAAGCTGTTCAACACCAACTTCAATATGTCGTTAAAGACCTTCCACCCACTTGGCAAATGAATCGTGATAATATGGAAAAGACTCGCAATAATTTGCGTCAAAATCTCTGGCCAATGGCCAATGTACAACAACTTGGCGCAAAACCAATCAACGCTTTCTTGCCAAATGTTGCAATGCAAGGTGTTCAACAACCAGCCGAGCATATATTTTTTGAATCACGAAGACGTCGCCGTCGTGCCATCGACTCCAGAATGAATGACGAAATCGAACAACGTATACAACGAAATGAATTGAAAAATGAACTTCGTCTCGACGAATCCGTCGATCAAATTGAGTTGGTCGATAAAATGCAACGCATGTTTGATAAATTTGAGCGCAGTCAAAATGGTGTTTTTAAAATTGGAAAGGGCGGACTTAAAGGCTTACTTTCGGCCCGTAAGTCAGACGAAAGTGACAATAAAATAAAAAAGAAGTGTAAAGTTTTATCAATGGCCATGGAGCAACAGTGTTTACAAACCGAAAATCAACCATCAAAAACACTTTTCAAGCGTTCACTTGACATCGCCCGAACATCGAATGGTCCGTTCAAGAAGTTGTTTTCAAGACTCAAGGACAGCGTCGATGGACCATTGAAATTTCGCATCAGACGATCAATTGACGAAAATGAAATCAATGAAAATGATATAAATGCCATTTTTAAAGAGCCAAAAAATGAAGAAGAAAAAATGCAATTTGAGAAAAATGTGTTGTATGACACGGAAAAACGCCGCAATGAATGGAAACGTATTGTCGCAAAAAAGATCTCATCTTTAAACCCATCAGAACCATCGGACCCAGCTATGCCAACCACAACTCAAAGTACAGCACCAGAAACTACACCAGCCGAAGCAGCAAAACCGGCGGACGGTGAATCAACGAAGAATGCGAAAAACGTTGTTCCGGAAATCTTGCGTACAATGCGAGGCTATGTAAGTGAAATTACAAAAACAGTGGCCAAAAGCATTGGTAAGATATGGTTTAATCTAGCATAATCATGTAATAAAATGTGCGCCTCTCCTCGTTTGATTTCATATTCTATTGTTTAGTTAGTATTCCAATTTTTAATTGTCCATTTTTTGTTCATATGTTTGATTAAATAAACTGTTACATATTTTTAATTTATTATTAGCAGCAATGAAATCATGTTGTTTTTGTTTCAAGAAAAAAAAGTCAAATTGGTTAATTCGCAAAAAATGTTTATTTTGAAATGGTATTTTAGGTTAAAAAAAGGTATGTATGGGGGTGTATGGTGGTGTACGGCTTAATCTATGATCTAATCGAATCGTATGGAGAAAACATTAAATCTTATATCGTACTTAGTTGTCCTAACATGATCTTACAGCGAGAAGTAAAAAAAAGAACAAATATTCTTGTTTGTCAAATAAAGGTGCAAATGGTTCACTTCTTGAATCTAGTCGGATTTACGATGTGCTAACATCCGTGTAAATTTGTCATTTATTTTGCGAAATGGATGAATGCCAGTACGGTGTCAATCACGTACAGCGCCCCGGACAAAACACATAGCGAACCAACCAACAAACCAACCTGAAATGTGCGAATATTTTAAGATAAGCCCGTCTACGACATTCGAAACGTTCATTAACTTACGGTACGTTCGGGAATAACAACCACTTGATCATGATCGGCCATGTAGCCGGACCAATAATGTAATGCTGTTGCGCCTACCGAAACCCACATAAATGCGCCGACAACATTCATAATTGTGTCAGACAGCTCCCTGTACAAATCATCGAAAATCATCAATTTCTCTTTCCAAGCTGTTTTTTTATATATATATAAAAAAATGGTATTACCGTTTGTGAGAGGTTGTTCCAAATAGATATGCAATCATTTGAACGCCTGTATAAATGAAAAATCCAACAAAAACACCCGATGCAATAATTTCAGCATCGGAACTTTTCTCTTCGTTCAGATTCCATGTGCCGCCAATGCCAAGAAAATCGCCAGCATATCCAAAGCGATACATCAATAAGATGATCAAATTGATTACCTGAAAATGATGAGCCGATGAGTCATCAAACACACACACACAAATATTTCATAAGTTTGTTTTGTTAGTCATTTACTATTTGAATGGGTGTGGTATTAGTCACTTTAACAACATTACCATGAATGATTTCACATTAAAATGCGTTTCACACATTTTCCAAACATAAATATTTTTGTTTTCGTGTCTGTACATGGTTTTTTCGCTCATTTTTTATAGATCAGCACTTTTTCAACGCATAATTACAATTAAAAAATACTCACCAATTTGAAAACCTTCAAAAATATTGACCCAACAGTTTCCACTGACACCATTTTTATTTTGCTTTGTTCGAATTAATTCGCTTTCAGTTTAAATTCTTTTTTTTATGTCGTTTCCTTCTTGAAAAACTCTATAAATAAACGTATTGCACTTAGAATAGAATTTAAATGAATTTATCGGTTTTTCTCACCAGGAATTTATTAATAAATGGAAAGGTAGACACAAATTCATTGGCGTACACAAGATTTTTCAACGGTGACTCTTCGAATAGAAAAAATGATTCCAAATGAAATATGTCTATTGCAAAATTAACAAGTGAAACAACGATTGAGCAAAGATGGGAGCGATTTTTTTTTGTGTAAACGGATGATAAAGCATAAACCGAGATAAGATTAGATAAAATTCATTTTTTTACGTGAATACATTCTGAATTGGTTCATGCAATAGTTACACCATTGTCATTTTATCTACATACACACTTATGTGAATAAGAAGAAAAAAATCACACATTCAACGAGAAACAGAGAGATAGCGAGAGAAATCCAAATATACAATTAAAGCTGATAAAGCCTTTTCGGTGAAGACAAAAAAAAATAAAATGAGTGTGTACGTGATAGTAAGAAACACACACACACGCCATTCAATGTAATCATTGCTGGCCTATTTTTTCGGCTTAGTTTTGTGTATTCTTTTTCTTCTCCAAATTTTATGCTGTGAAAAGCATATTTACGAAATTGTAATTCAATGAAATTTCAACAATTCTGTTTTTCGTTTTCATTTGAATTTCAAGCATATACTCTTCCTGACATTCCGATCGTTGTTGTACAACGACCAAATTAGTCATTGCATTGATATCTCATGTTGGTTTAAAGCAACTACACATGTCGATGTGGTTTTATATCAGGTGTTAAAGGTAGTAAATTCTGTGTGTTGATAAAAGGTTCGATGCGACTTGGCTTTTATACTCACTAAATCAACACTATTGTGAAAAGCTTCAATTTGTCTATATAGTTTTTCTATTTGCCACAATTTGTAAATGTGTCGCTTTAAAGCTTGAACATACATGTGAATATCCATCTGATTCATTTGTTCATTTGCCTTTGTGAATGGATTGTGAATTGTGATGAATTCATTCTCCAATTTTGATAGCTGGAGTAATGCTCCTGCAAATGCAGTACCCAAAATACGCATGAGTCATGTTTAAGCACCTTTTTGTTTGTTATGTCAGGGGAATCCTTTAGCATCAGCGATTCTCTTTATTGTGTACATCCAATATTGCAGCACGAATGTTGTTTGAATGTCATTTGGCGAACGCTGGAGTTCCTCTGAACATAAAATGAATGCATAAAAATACAGGCAGTGGACGCGCGTCAGTGCATTGACACTTGAAATTACGAATTTAACACGACATAACTGGAATGTATATACATGTGAATTCATTCTATATATATGTGTGTCCTTTTTATCATTTGTTTTTCCTTGTGCGAACGATTCCATTCAATAATCTTCTTTACCTGTTGCAAACCATTGTCATTGGGCGCGCTACTTCTGTCTCTCTCTCTTTCCTTCTCTCAGCATAGCTCGAATTGATATAAATAATATAGCCAATTGATGATAAGATCGCTTGAATTAATTTTTAATTTGGTTTCATAGAGCAAATTAAAAGGTCCACCATCAAATTCGAGAACCAACAAATTATTTTCGCTTAATATCAGGTATAAAATATGATATTAAAGTGATTTTTCATTTTGCAAAGAATCATTTCACCATGAATCATTTGATTTTGATATTTGTTTGCATTTAAAATGTGAACGAATCAGTGAGCGGGCAAAAGAAAACTTTGAAAACTTTATCAATATCGTCATCATGGAGTTCCAATACGAAATTCAGAACGAAAGATATCGAAAACCGTCTCTTTTGCCAAAAATCCATCAATGGCAAAACTGAATGAAATCGCATGAAAAGTAAGGCGGAAGAAATGAATGGAAAAATTCATCAAAAAAAAAGAAGAAAAAATAAATAAATAAAATAGAACGTTCACCGACCAAATAAAAGTAAAAATTAGATATGCAGAAAGGAAGAAAGATACAAACTAGTGCTTTCCTTACCACAGGAATATATTTTTCTCTTTAAACAAGAGGAATGAACATGTATACATGACGAAAACGCCAAAAAAAGAAGGAAAACATAAAATTTCAATGAGAAAAAAAAAATATGTGAAACGGCATACCAAGTTTAGCGTTAAAAGAAATCTTTACCAACAAAGACCAAAACAGAAAAACCATCAAACTTTAAGAAATAGAATTTTATGTTGTCAAAGTATATTATTTTGTCATGTATGATGTGACTACATATCTCATCCTTCGCATTCTTCGCGTGTCCCCTTTTCACTGTGTTTTTGTTTTTGTTTGTTGGCGCTCCAACTTGACATTGTACCCTTTCCATTTGTTTTCAACGTTCAGTGTTTCAATGAGACGAATATTTCGATACAAGCTATTTGTATCCGTATTCGTATGTGTTTGCGGTGTTGTTTACGTCTATGACATTTTGTCTATTGTTGTGCTTTTTTTTCGTGTGCACTCCCGCCCTCTCTGCCGTACTATGTCTGTCTTGTTCGTTTTTGTGCCTGCCGACAGTATATTACTCCCGTATATGTGTACATATTTTGGAACAAGAAAATCTTGTTTTGAAATTTGATATGAAAGAAACTTTATTCTCACTCACATTGCCTGGTGTGACATGGATATACACTCTGTGAAACTGAAATGGCACACGACGATCCATGTGCATTCAGCGTATGTGCTAAAAATAAAAAAACGAGAGAAGCATGAGTAAAAATTCGAAAGATTCGTTCGTTCATATTTAGTTTTTTTTTATTGGAGTGTGTATCGTAGTTGTTGATGTCGTTGTCGTCTTTTTCTTCGTCAAGTGGTATGAAGAGAGTGTACTGAGAATGAAAGAAGCATACACCAACGAAAAAAAAAAAACGAGAATTCAGTTAATAAAAGACCAATACGAAAAATGTGAAAACAATGTAAATGTAAAAAAGTGTTGTTGTCGTCGCGCTGAATTCCTCATTTCACAGGTGTGATGTGAGAAAGCATCCAGCATCAGCAGTGAAAACTTGGTGTGGAAAAACAAGAAACAACAGCTTTAACCAACAAAAAGAACTAATGGTAATAATGGCTGTGTGTTGTACGTTTTACGTGTGAATGCATACATGCATGTATCTATTGTATGTGACAACATTGAAGACGTGGTCCAAAAACGAAGTTTTGCCATCACACACACACACACACACACACACATTCCTCTTTGAAGAGGGAAAGAGACGCAAAGTGGAAGTTAAAAGAAAAATATAAAGCAGATGAAAAAAAAAATCATCTGATGAGAATAAGTACGTAGAAGTCCTAATGAATGGAATGATGGTAAAACCACCGCGACACGATTTTCTTTCGCAAACTCAACAAAAATACAAAACACTCACAACACACAAATACGATTTACTCGCGAATCCGTGCAACTTAGATTCCGTTCACTTGTTGTGTTGTCACTTGAAACATAGAATGTGACAACACTTTGTGAGAATAATTTAATTCATTTTTGTTGTGGGCAAATACAAACAGAAAGCTACAAAAGCTTGGCCAACTTACAACGAATTTATGTGTTTGAGTGAGCGAGGAATCGATAGATAGGAAGAGAAGGATTTAATGACTCAAAGTTGATTTTCTCATCTGTTGATTTTTAGATGAATTCAATCAATAAGAAATGAGAAAACCATAGAATTCAAGTCTTTGATTGCAATAAATGGTTTTTATGGTTTCGATCAAATAACAGAAATCTCTCTCTCTCTGGCCACAATTCCAAAATGACTATGTGCATTGATTCGCCATTTTTGGAGAGAGAAGAAGAGAGAGGAGGGGTGAGGGAGGTAGAGAGACGGATTTTATTCACTTTATTTATTTACATAGTAAAAAATAGTGAAAAAAAATGTACCCAATCATTTGAAAAGGGTGAGAGAGGGAAATAAAGAATGAATGGATTTGAAGTAAATCGAAATTTAACATATCCATTGCATCCCAATGCAATCCAAACAAAAGATCAAAGAAATCACATGCCTACGAATTGTATAAACCACCATCGTACGAATTGCATCTTCGAAATAGTTTGTCTTACATTTGTTTTTAAGGTTCACTTTCTCCACCGTCTTCGTTCGAAAATTGATTTCATCTTCGTTTCTTCGTTTTTTTCCCTCCTGCTCATTCACTTGAAGTCTGTGATTAATAAAATCCAATTACAAATCTCAAAAGTTGTTTTGCATTCGATCGATCCCATTGGGTGGCCAGACTTAAATGGTAAAATAATCGAAATAAAAGGAATTTCGTGGTGAAATTGCATTTCTATATCAGTACTCTCGTCGAATGAAATGGAAAGCAAAAGAGTATGAGAGAGACAGAGTGAATGAGAGTCGGCGCACAGTTTCGAGAGAAAAGAAACAGAGAGAAGAAAGAGACAGAGGAAAAAAAGTTATATGTTTGACTTAGTGAAGGACAAAAACAAAAACAAAAAAAGGAGCATAACTCTTTGTCAAACTATTACACACATTTGTTGTGTACTTAAATTTGAATGTGCCGTCACTGCAGTTCAAATTAGGAAACTATTTTTTTCCTCGTCTTTGTTTCTCTGCGTCTTTATCCGTTACTCATTTTATTTGGAATTTTTTTTTCATTTTCACCCATACCAAATGCCTTCCATTTCCATTTCGTTCGTTCATTCGTTCAATTGTTCCATTGCGAAAATCGCATTTTCCGTTTTTTGTTGGCATTTTACTCAGTGGAATGTCGTCAGTTTCATTCATTGTCTGTATGAAATCGTCGGATACATATTCTTTTTCTTCGTTTAAATTGCATGCCTCAAAACGAATGTGCAAAACAAGGAAAAGGGAACGGAATCAATTTGGTTTTGTGAAAAGCTAACTGACTGACGAACACTGACGAAGACGGCAACGACAATTGATAATTTCACAATACAAAAATAAAGTTCATAATACGTTATTTTAAATTGCTTTTGGCTATGCTTTTCCCATTACATTTCCTGTAAATAATTCTTGTAATTGAAGTCTCTGCGACTTATCGAAAATGTCAACCGAAAGAAAGAATCAAGATATCCGGAATACTACAACTCCGCTCAATTTTTACTCGCTCCACTTTGATTCGTTGCGTTCGTTTGCCCGCTCTTACTCTCTTGTTTTTCGCATTGAATGTTCGTCGATTGTATTACATGTACATGTACAATGCACACAGTAAAATCATTTGAAAACATGTATTGTTCGATAAAAGAGCGAAGAAAACGAAGACGAAAAAAGGGTTTTTTTTTCTTCGCTCATCAAAGCATGAATCGCAGTAAAGCAATTAATCAAGCATGTTCAAACGTGCGAATGAATGTTTTCTATCTTGTGGCATATGTTAACTCTCGTGAACGCCTACAGTCGTGTATTTTGAGTTCAAGACTTTCAACCTTTCATTTGACCTTCAATGCATTCAAAGGTGTTATGGCATTTAAAGAAGGATAAAAGTGATATTAATTCCAATTGAAAGAAGGTTCGGTTGTTTTTTTTGCAACATGGTCGTATATCTTTTTCTCTCAACCATATCTCTCTCTATCCCATTTTCTTTCAATATGAATTATTATTAATTGATGAATTTTAATCGGGAAAGTTGTGGTAAACGGCAACATTTTGTAATAATACATGCTTTTGTATCACATACACAGATACCGACACTGACACATACACCAACATATACATTTCTCGAAATGCATTATGCAAATTATTTTTGTCTGCTGCTGCCTCAACTAACAGTAGGTCGTGAACAACAAATGATTTCATTACATTGTTTGCGGTAATCAAAAATGGCAAAAACATCAGTAGAGTGACGATAAATGGTTTAGAGTTGGCAAAACCACATTTATCTGCTTTGAAGTGTGCAGTACACTCACTCAATCCAGAGTAAATGTGGTTACAATGCTGTTTGTTGAAGAAACCACAACGCAGGTTCAAAGAAACCCCAGCAGCTAGTTAAATATTATGTATATCTAAATCGTGGCGCTTTTGTTTACATTTGTGGCTTAATATCGACATTCGAAATTGTGTATATCATATAATACAATATATTATCTGCAAAATGGCCTCTTAATTTCTGTTAACGACTAAAGAGTGATATTTTTCTTATCGATATATCTACATGTCCATATCAATCATATGAAATTAATAAGAAAATGAAAAAAAAAAATACATTTCCATAGAAAAATGATTGGATCGCATTGGTAATATGCCTCCTGTAGACTTGTTTGATAATTCGCTATTTTTCTTCATGGACTGACATAGCATTGAAGTTCATAGTTATACGGAAAAGTTATCATTCCTAACTTGAAGCGAACATTTAGAACATTCTAAATGAAAACACGAAAAAGATATAAAATTATTCAAAACGCGTCTGATTTCATGTGTAATGAGCATATTTTGTGTCAAATTAGTTACTAATGAATAAAATAAATAAGCTTTTGAATAATGGAAAGTTATGCATGCGTAATTAATAAATAGTACAGAATTCTGGCCAAAACTGACGACCAAAAAGAGTGCCTACTTTTTTCGCCAAAAACACTAGCAAATCGGAAGAATTTTCTGAACCTTACACTTCATGGTGGTGGACGGCCACCAAATTGAGTCTCGAGCATATTTCTGACATAATATTTGTCTGTGCGAGGTCAGATGGAACTTCCATCATGGAAGCTAGTAATGTAGAAAACAACCAGATTAGTAGAAGCAACGTATATTTATAGAGTCAAAAATATCTTTAAAAAAATCAATTTTAATTTGTGTTCTCAATATACGTCAGGCTATCGAAGGCGAAAAGCAACAAACACTTGTTTATGTTGGTTATGTGTTTTTTTTTAAGGAATTCCTTTTTACATCTTCTACTCACATTATTTAGTGATCATTCAAGTCTGTAATGTAATATTTGAACCTCTATAGATACATTATCATAAACGAAAGGAGCAAATTAAAAAACCGTTTATTGTCACTTGACATTCCTTTAGTCTTTTTTAGTTTAACTTTCATGCAAATGGAACATAAATTCACATGTGAACGGCATTTTTCGAAGGGGAATTAGCTCAGATGGTAGAGCGCTCGCTTAGCATGTGAGAGGTACCGGGATCGATGCCCGGATTCTCCAAGGTCTTTTTTATTCATCACATCACACAAAATGTGACCACTTCATTCATTAAAGATATACCAGGTTTTTTTCCTAGTCACATCATCTATTATGTAAGTCATAAAAAAATATCTTGGAGAATCCGGGCATCGATCCCGGTACCTCTCACATGCTAAGCGAGCGCTCTACCATCTGAGCTAATTCCCCTTCGAAATATGCCGTTACAATGTGACATTCAACATAAATTTATGTTCATAAAAAAAATTATGAAAAAAAATAGAAAGTGATAGATTCCCATTGGCAATTTACAAATATTTGCACCCATCGGATTACTTACACCCGATCGATAACGCAAGAATTTCTTGGATAATCAACATGTGTTTTAGTATATGAAACTCGTTGACAAATGTTTGAAGCTCGTACGCAATTCAATTAAATATATTTTTTTCCGGTATTTCAATTTAATTTCATGAACCAAAATGGAAAATATTAAAAATGAGAAAAAAAACAACCAAAACAGTTATCACTTGAAAATGAATCCGACTCAGGATTAAAACAATTTCTGAACACGAGCAATAAAAACACTAATATTTCAGCCTTATTGAACCTATTGAGTTTGTATGGCAAACCAATTGAAAAATAAAGTAAATTGATTTTTTTTTTCTTAATTTGCACAAAATGTGATGAATACCGTTTAGTTTTTGTTCAAAAAAAATGTTTAAAATAAGTGTTATACCTATATTGTATACCAAAAGGTAGAAAAATGTTGAGAATTTAAAAATGTCAATTAAAAGAGTGTGTCAATTTAAAAATGGTAGAATCAAATATTTTCGATGCGAGCAAAGCGATAATTCAGCGCTAACCCATGAAATATGAAATTGCATTTGGCACGATATTTTAAGCCATATACCAATTCAATCAAAATGCTCTCGTTCGTTTCGATCCGATAAAAATATCAATTTTAAGTGGATCGGAAAGCGAGTAATAAAAACTGAAAAATCGACCGAATGAAGAGAAGAAATTAAAATGCCATTTCTATGTTTTATCATCATGGAAATCTATTAATTTTCTTCATCGTTTATAAATGATTTCTGCCGTTTATATAGCAGAAAAGGGAGTCAAGATAATAGCAATGGTTTGACATTCGATTGAATTTATTAACTCTTCAGATTGAGCATTTTCCGTTTCCTTTTCATTTTTACTCGGTTCCTTTCACTATTTCGTCTTTGTTATTATTTATTTCCCGCTTGATTGACGACGACGACGACGACGACGAAGACGACAACGATTCCGATTCAGAACATATAGTATTATAGCAGCAGTAAGTGGTCGTCGGTATCTGCGTATTCCCACGGTTACCATGCCCAAGTTCAATTGAAATACAGCATCGCATGTATTGAAGTGAAAATTAAGAAAATTAAATTAAAGCGTGCTTATGGTGTATGTTTGTTACCATTTCAGAATGAGGTGCAAAAAGACAGCGACAACGATGAAAAAGACCCAAATGGTGTCCGTATAAGATAACATAAATACGCGCACGCAATGCCAGTTCATTGTACGGTAAAGTGATTTCGAATGAAAAACGAAATGAAAAGGAAAATATACGTTAAATCAGTGAATCGGCAGCATATTGATATCAAAAATGTGGTTCATACCAATTGAAATCTGTCCGTTTGCTTAAATAAAAGGAGTATATCGTTGCACCCAACGAACACAACGAGAAATCATCGCAGCTCTCACTCTCATTCCAGATCCATTTTCTAGCTCTCTTCGCCCTTTCCGTTTGTCATTTGGAAAAAGATTGCCAGTAGCTTAGTAAATGGATACAGATAGCATTTGGATTATTGCGAATGAAATAAATTGATAAAGGTCTTTATTATGGCATTTCGTTTCTTCTTTTGCTTTTGTTCGTTCATACACATTTTGTTCCCATGTTACTATTTCACGTTCGATGACACGATTATTATTGAACGAACAGAGAGAAAGAGTGAGAGAGCGCGCAAGGAAGGGACAGTCACGAATGATTATGTTACGATTGATTTTTGAGGATATTCTCATCATCGACGTCGTTGCTGTCAAACGTTGCTGTTGTCAGCATATTGGCACGACAAAACGGAGATGAGGATTGTAATTCGTTGAACGTGAAAAACGATATGGAAAAATTATCTTTGGAAATATTAACAAATCAAATTGAAAATAAAAATGGATATGTTCTTCTGTGTCTGGGTTCGGGTTTCTTTCTTTCTCTCTCTCTCTCTCTCTCTCTCTCTCTCTCTCTACCTCCGTTCACAATTTTAAGCTTGTTTTTTTTTTCTGCCGTTTTCCACATCATTGAGATCACTGCTTTTATGTTTCAAGTATACTTTACATCACATGGTATGCACAAAAAAGTGTGCCACGACAGGTAACTCCCTCTAAAAAAATCTGAATGCAAAAAACCTGTAATTTTTGTAAGCGCCAAAAATACTTTTTTTTTAAATCCTTATATATTCGATATCACACCAAAAAATAAAAAAAAAAACATTCTGAACAAACACCGAAAAAACTATAAAATAAACTCAATATTACGTGTTAAGTCCCATTGTTTGTTTGTTTTTTTTTTTTTTAATTTCGCAATTTACCAGTGGCATCAACACATACTCGGGCACACACACTCGGTTATTATTGCAACCTTTCGCATCATTTTTCTGAGAACGCTGATATACACAGCCCAAACTATTCCGGACACAAAAAATACATTAGCTGCGATGCACACAAATTGTGAGGGTAGTTTTATTTTATTTTTGTGCACGTCAGCTCTGATTGTGAATCATTTGTAATAAAACACCTTTGTTATTGCCATTGTGAATTTTTTTGAAAAATTGAAAATAATAAAAAAATTCTTTCATTGTTCAAAAATTATTATTATTTGGTAACGTTTTCAGTTTTAAGCCAGTAGAACGAAATAGAATTTCTTAGAAGGACATTTGAAATTGTCTTCGAGTTTTTTTTTGTTCGAATCATTGATTGTTCAAATGTTACCTTATCTCACATAGAAAATCACATTATAATGTTACTATAGTAAAATCAAAGTTTCAATAGCGAAATCTAAAAATAGTTATTAGTATTTTATAATTATAAAAAAACGACATTTAGTTAGTAATTTCAGCTGTTACTATTGTATGGCGTTAAATTTACTAAGTTGACTTTCTATATGTATCGACATTTTGCTATGTTTTTTTTTTCATAGAAATTGTGATCTTTTTCATAGGATTTTATTCAAGGCCATTCAGAAGAATTTCTTTCGTTTGTTGTTTTGTTTTGGTGCGTGGTGTTGGTTTCGACTTTGTTGTGTGTAATTAAAGCCGATTTTGTTTGCTTTGCGTTGTTGTAAATGCGGTGGTAGTATTTTTCTTGTGGCTTTTTGTGGTTCAGGTTCGGTGGGCGCAATTAGTTCGTAGCATTTTGATCGAAGGCCATTGTTGAAAATTTCGTTTGCCAAATCGATAAGTTCCAATTTTTTGAAAATGATTATGTACCGTGAGCCATCGGCTGTGTTGTGACTTCTTGATTTCAATCCCAAGCGACTGGCAATTCTGTCAACCAAAAAATATTAAAATGAAAACATTTGCCATCATTAATACTCGTATGAAAGTAAATTGTTTGAAAAATACACATGAGAAAAATCGATGAAATTGAAAATGTCAAAAACACGAAACGCCATAATTTGAAGATTTTTTGCAGTTTCACTTTAATAACTCAAATTGAATTCTCTAGAATAAATACAGCGTATGATACGGTCGCACACCAAAGTTTGTTTTTACATACATTTTTTGCTGTATTTTGTATGACGGTGTTTCGCTTTGAAATGCAACCTTTCCATACGCTGTTTTTATTCTATAGCAATCAATTATGGATGCTGTAGATCAAACTGAAAGTAAAGAAGATTCTTCGAACTTCTGCTTGTCTACACATCATCAAGTGAAAGCGCGCAAAAAACAACAACAAATTATGGCATTTTGTATTTCATATTTTTTCAGTGTAAAAACGTACTCGTGTAGTGTTTTGCGTTCATCCTTTGTGAATTCTTTGGAAAATGCTAAATCATATGTTGCCGATTCGTCGGTTTTGTATTTTGTCAGATAATCAACAAAAAAATCATAATTCAGTTTTGTCGAATCGGATGACAATCCAAGACCGCAACGGTCAACTTTCATTTCAATGCTAATCGGTTGTTCGATGCCATTCCCACTCACACCCAGCGCACCACCCGACCATCCAAGCATTTTCATCATTTTAAAACCAATATTATCCTCGTTCAATTGAGTATTTTTCGACATTCCCACAGCATCACCACCACCATCATTCTGTTCATCCACGTCAACACTGACGGTGTGCACTGATTTTTGCTATGAAAAAAAAAAGAAATAAAAATTCATATCATAATATTCGTACATAAATATAGCCAAATATTGAACATACTTTGATTGTATAGTGAATTTTTTTCGCCCGTTCTAATGCTTTGTCGAATGCTTGTTGCTTGGCTTCTTTTTTGCCGGCTGTAACTGGTGCTTGACCATAGACGGTACCTAAGGGAAGAATCACAAAAGAAAAGAATTAATTTAAAATAATCGACAAATAATCGAAAAATAATCAATAATAATTAGTAAGTAATTTTAAGACGGTACCATTGATACGAACAACACATTCAAGCGTTGTTGGTTTGCTTTGGGATACCTCTACATCACATTTAACAATTGCACCTTGTTTAGCTGCGCTCATTTGAATGATGCTGATGCTCTGTTGACTATTTTGTGCAAGTGTTTCGTAAATAATGAAACCAGTATTTGGCAATCGTTTTATTATTTTGAATGGTGGCTTCGACTGAAATATATTATTCGCCGGACAAGTGGGCGCGAACTCTGTCCTTTCAGTCGATGGATTTAATGAGAAAGACGGGCGAGCCATTTGACCATCATCATCACTATTATCGTCCAGTGTGCGTTTTCGTTTTCCTGAATTATTGTCATTTACATTTGTACTGGCCGAAGGTTCATCATTTGTTGTTGATTCTTGTTTACGAAACGAACTTTCAATCGATGGAATTGTGATTGACCTGGTGGCCTGTGTTTTAGATCCACGTCCTAATTGATCAAGAGGTTGAAATTTATCAATGACAATTGATACTGACAATTTTTTCGTTTTCTACCTTTAGCTTTGGCGCTAGCCGCATCACTCGCACCAACAAATGTTCGTTTCAATCGACCGCTACGCGATGCACGAAATTTGGCCGCAATATCTTTTGACAAAAGTGCAACACGTTCCATTGTTTTCTTTGGGTAACGACACCCCAAAAACTCAATGTTTGTAAACACTTGTGCCAAACACACCAATTCACATTCGGGAAATTTATCTTTGTGCGCGTCAATAAATGCCTTCCGCAATTGCCAATGTTCGTCACTTTCGTAGTCGGCTCTATACCGATTCACATCCCAGTCTGTTGGAAAACTCATTTTCTTCGAATTTTATTCGTTCTTTCTTCAACTTCAATTGTTAAGAGTCAACTGTTCTCTTTAAATTATTGCAAGTGTATGTTTTGAGTTTAGCATTACTTATGTTTTGACTACACACGTTCAGTGTCATTAGTGCTAATATTTCAAAAGAAAAAACATGGCGAACCGTCACATAGAACTGTCAAAGTCATAATAATCCTGAAATGAGCGTAAACAAACAAAAATGTTTCCAACATCATCACAGGAAACTAAAAATGTTTTTGATGCCTTTCTTAAGTTTCAATGCATGTAAAATAAAAATGATAAATTCTTGGTAATAATAATAGACCATTTTATTCAATTTTTCTGGTTTTATTCAAATTACAATGTAAAATTTGCACCGCATACTATATATTTTGTGAAGAAAATATATGAAAATGAAAGTCTTTCGAATACCATTTTGAACTTTGATTAGTTATTAGACGTGAAGTTCCTGCCTCTTGCTTATTACACTTAAATGTCTTTATTTATGCCGTTTCTTTAGAAATACTTATCGGATGATAAGCATCGTAAAGGTTTGCTTTGATTGTTTTCTATAATGGGAGCTAATTTTGTAAGAAAAATTCGCCAGTTTCTGTGCTCCATGGATCTTTGCCGTGCTTACGTCTTTTTAAATTACTGTCTAAATTCGGTATTCGAAACGTACTTTCAATCGATGGAAATGTGATATTTTGATTGACTTTTTAGCTTGTAGTTGAGGTCCACGTCCTAATGATTGATAGAAAAAAGGTAAAAAATAAGAAAATCTTTCATTAAAGAATAAAATTAAAATTAAACTACTTACAATTCTTTCGTTTTCTGCCTTTGGCTTTGGCACTAGCTGCATCGCTCGCACCGACAAACGTTCGCTTCAATCGACTGCTGCGCGATGCACGAAATTTGGCTGCAACATCTTTTGATAAAAGTGCAACACGTTCCATTGTTTTCATTGGATAACGACACCCTAGAAACTCAATGTTTGTAAACACTTGTGCCAAACACACCAATTCAGATTCGGGAAATTTATCTTTGTGCTCATCAATAAATGCCTTTCTTAATTCCCAATGTTCGTCACTTTCGTAGTCGGCTTTATACCGATTCACATCCCAGTCTGTTGAAAAACTCATTTTCTTAAGAAAAATTCGTTATTTTTTTACTTCGACAAATGTAAATAGTCAACTATTTCCTTTCAACTACAAAAAGTGTATGTTTTGTGTTTAGCGTTGCTTATGTTTAAATACACACGTTTTGTCTCATTAGCACTAATGTATTAAGATAGGAAAAAAACATGGCGAACTGTCACACCGAACTGTCAAAGTCACAGTCAACGTTTATAAACATTAGTGTTAAACACAACTAATAAGTGTTTTGTTGAAAGCAAACAATTGACAACCAACATTTGCCGAAGAAACAACGAGTAAACTTAGTGAGCTCATTAAGTGTAAACAAATCTAAACGTTTCCAAAGTGAGTGTGAGTGTATCAAATGTAATTTTTGAAATTAAGAAATTTGCTGTAAAAAATTGGTGGAAAAAAAGCTAAATAATTTTCATTCAAATAAAGTGAATATTTCGTTGAGACGAAAAATTAAAAAAAGAAAAATATAATGTCATATTCACCGTCAAAGAAGCGTTATCGTCGTGATGATGATAAACAAAAAGCGGACAGCGATGATGAGTATGTGCCGTATGTGCCAGTTCGTGAGCGTAAAAAGAATGAATTGATTCGCTTAGGTCGGATAGCGCACATTGCTGAAAATGCAAATAAATCATCGAGTGAAAATGAAAGCGACAATGAGCAGAGCCAAGAAGTCCTTGGAAGAAAATACAATATTAGTTTATTGGATCAACACACCGAACTGAAAAAATTGGCCGAAGCGAAGAAAATCAGTGCGGCTGAAAAACAACTAAAAGAAGAAGAGAAAATTCTAGAAAGTGTTGCCGAAAGAAAGGCGCTGATGGCTGCATCCGAATTGGCCAAAGCCATTGTCTATGAAGATCCAATTGAAACTAGTTGGCGTCCGCCGCGTCATGTACTTGCAATGCCCAACTTTAAGTTAGATGAAATTCGACAAAAGCATCGAATTTTAGTCGAAGGTGAACTAATTCCGCCACCAATACGAACATTTAGAGAAATGAAATTACCAAAGTCAATTCTAATGGCATTGGATAAGAAAGGCATAAAAAAACCGACACCGATTCAATTGCAAGGCATTCCAACGATTTTGTCGGGTCGTGATTTGATTGGCATTGCATTTACAGGTTCGGGAAAGACATTGGTTTTTGTATTGCCAATTATAATGTTTTGTGTCGAACAAGAAGTATGTTTGCCATTCATTCGAAATGAAGGACCGTATGGTTTGATCATTTGTCCGTCACGTGAATTGGCCAAACAAACACATGAAATTATTCGATTCTTTTGCGATCATTTGAGGCAAGACGGTTTGCCAGAGGTGCGATCATGTTTGGCCATTGGTGGTGTGCCCGTTACCGAATCCATTGAAACCATTCAAAAGGGTGTACACATTATGGTTGCAACACCAGGCCGTTTGATGGACATGCTCGATAAAAAGATGGTGAACTTACGCGTTTGCCGATATTTATGCATGGACGAAGCCGACAGAATGATTGACATGGGCTTCGAAGAAGATGTTCGTACAATTTTCTCGTACTTCAAAGGACAACGTCAAACACTACTCTTTTCAGCTACTATGCCGAAAAAGATTCAAGTATGTTACATCTTTTTCCCATTTGGACGGTTCTAGATTATCAATAATAACATTTTTTTAATTTTCATTTTATAGAATTTCGCTCGATCAGCCCTGGTGAAGCCGATAACAATAAATGTGGGACGAGCTGGTGCCGCATCAATGAATGTCATTCAAGAGGTTGAGTATGTGAAACAGGAGGCTAAGGTGGTTTATCTATTGGAATGTTTACAGCGTACCTCACCGCCAGTACTGATTTTCGCCGAAAAGAAACAAGATGTGGACGCAATTCATGAATATTTGCTGTTGAAAGGTGTCGAAGCGGTTGCCATTCACGGTGGAAAAGATCAAGAAGAGCGTTCGAAAGCCGTTGAAGCGTTTCGATCACAAATTAAAGACGTACTTGTTGCTACCGATGTCGCATCAAAAGGTTTGGATTTTCCAAACGTACAGCATGTCATAAACTATGATATGCCCGATGATGTGGAGAATTATGTGCACAGAATTGGAAGAACGGGTCGTTCGTCAACCAAAGGTTTGGCCACAACATTCATCAATAAATCAACCGAACAATCGGTACTGTTGGATTTGAAACATTTATTGATTGAGGCAAAACAAAAGGTACCACCATTTCTGGCCGAACTTTGTTCGGAAAGCGAACAGCTATTGGAAGTTGGCGATACACAGGGTTGCAGCTATTGTGGTGGTCTGGGTCATCGAATTACCGAATGTCCGAAATTGGAGGCCGTACAAAACAAACAAGCCTCGAATATCGGACGCAGAGACTACCTTTCAAACACAGCGGCCGACTATTAAGATCATTCATCGTCATACCAATGTGAAACAAATCGTTTTTGTTTGTTTTGTATAAAATATGAATAAAATTTTGATTAACTCAATGAAAACACAAAGATGATAAAACGAATATTATTATTGGTAATAGTTAATAGATCAATTATTTGCGATTTATTCAAATTTTTCTGGTTTTATTTACGATTCTAAATACAATGCAAAATTCACATCGCATACTATATGTTTTGAGAAGAAAATATATGAAAATGAACGTCTATCTAACTTCCTTTTAAACATCTATCCTAACTTCTGCCTCTTACTTATCCCACCTGAATATCTGCATCGTTCGTGTATGCCATAACTTTAGAAATATTTATATATCGGATGCTAAGTGTTTATCGTTAAGGTTTGCTTGGATTTTTTGTTTTTGTTTTTTTTTTCAGTAATTATCATTGATGGAAGCTAGTCCATTGTTTATCGTTCATACAGAACACATTAAAATTATCATGCTATTATTATTATTATTTTTATATGGTACATAAATTTCTATTGAGCTTTTGATTCTTTTTAGTTTCTTTCGTACTTTCGTAACATTTATCGATTGTACATTTTGTTGTTGTTGTTTTTTTTCTTTTAATTTTTTTTTTATTTTAAATGGTAAAAATTCCGTTGCATAGCTCCCTGTTGCTGTTGTGTGTTTATGACTCAAAACTATGTATCCATCAATTCCGAAAAGTCCGAAATGACTTGACATTCAGGTTTCTCTTTCAAAAATTGATTGATACCCTTCAAAGTGACCGATGTTCCGGTTACATCAAGATATCGTAGATTTGGTGCGCAAAGGGCTAAATGGCGTAATGTAACATCGGTAACATCCAAATAATTACGAACTGTAATGCGTTCCAATAAAGTGTCTGGTGCACGGCGTTCGGCTCGAATCCAAATGATACCCTCTTGAACGCTTCGTCTTGGCATACCAAAACTGCACATTCCTCGGTCTGTTATATAATAACCATTAAACATTGGCTTTTGGTATCGAAGTGGTGATAAATTACGCACTTCCCACGAAATTTGTCTGTTAATTATGGGAAAAAAAATAAAAGCAGTTTTATTCACTTTTATTCGATGTTAGAATTTTGCCAAAAATCTTACCTATTCATATTTCCATTTTCGTCGTTGTTTTGCGAACGACGATGCTGAACAATAATCAGTCGCTGATTTGCTGGCGTCGGTTTGTTGGCCGATGGCTGGCGATTTGATGGACCAGCCGCTTGATCGTCATTTATGTTTACAGCATTATCATTGGATGGTATAGTTGCATGTGAATTTGATTTGGATGCATTTGTAGAATCATTTTGATTTGTTTGAAGGCCTGACGTTCCTGGTTGATTTGCACTACCACCACCACCATCACTGTCATCATTTTTATTTGTGCTTGTGGAATATTCATTTTCATTTTCCGGCGTCTTTGATTGTTCGTCATTCTGATTTTTGGATTCAGTAACTGGAAATGGATCGGCCGAAATTTGTGCATTGATTGTTTCATTTTGTTCGGGTTGGTCGTGATTGGTGGAGCTACTACTACTGCTACTGCTTGGCTGTGGTTGTTCGGATTGTTGTGGTTGTTCGGATTGTTGTGGTTGTTGTTCTTGTTCTTGTTGCTGCTGTTGTGGTTGATTTTGCTCTGGCTGTTGTTGTCTTTGGTACCGAAATGGTGCGGCAAAGACCCGATGTGTTGGATCATTTGAATCTAACAGAAAAAAATATAAATTAGATTTTCTTGTGTTTTATTATTAAATCAATATTTTTACCTCTTCCGTTAATAATTCCAATGACACAACGTAGTCCATTCGTTTCTCGCAATGGATTATCAAAGTCATTTGAACGTTCGGCATTAACATTAACCATTCGGCCATTTTGTAATATCACTTGAATACAATGTGCCTGATGTGGTTGATTGGCATCAGCATTTCCACCGCTCACCTTATCACCGCCATTCTCGTCATCGTCGCTGCTATTATTTTCGCTGTCTGTGCTGCAAACTGAATCGTCATCTGAATCAGACTCTTCCGTATCCGAAATTGAAACGCTATTTTCATCTTGTTGTGATTTTTGTTCTTGTTGTGGTTCCGATACCGTATCCTTGCTGCTGCTACTACTACTTGCGCAACTATTGCTGTTGCTGTTGCTGTTACTATTGCTGTTACTATTGCTGCCACTGCTCAAATTGAAATGCTTTTCTTTGTTTGAATGTGTTTCTTTCGACACATCGTCGATGTAGGATTTTGGTTCAAATGATTCGCTGTCATCAGTATCAGACGTTGTTATGTCACGAAATTCAACGGGACAATCCATTAGAATTTCACGCAGTGTCGTTGTTATGTTGAAGCATTGAATATCGCTGTCTGATATTGGTGTATCACGAACATCCAAAAACTAATTTGACAGAAAACAAATGAAATGACATTTTTGTTCAAAATCAATGAAATGCATCGATTCAAAAAAAGAATTTTCACTCATACCTCTAAGCATTTGAATCCGAAACGTGTGGCAATGCTCCCATATGGAACGCATCCTTTGAGTGTGGGACAACCACGCAAACTAAGCCGCTTCAAATGTGGCAATTTGGAGAAAACAACGAGATCATGTGTTTCAAACCACGAACATTTTTCCAGCGCTATTTCCTCTAACAATTGTAGATAATCATCGATTTTAGTGAATAAACGTGGCGAACGGGGCAATGAAATTTGGCAGCCATGGAATTTCAAGCATTTCAGTAACCGTGGAAAGTCCGAAATTTTTACCTAAAAATCCAAAAATCGATTATAAATGATGACGAAACCAAAAAAAAATAAAATGGGAAAAACTTGTTGAAATAATCGCCATTTGTGTGATACCTTTCGAAAATTGATGTAACATTCTCGCAATTCGATTTTTTCAAGGCATGGACAAGAGGAAGACAGTTTTCGTAAAATATTTAGCGTGATTGTATTGTTCTTCCATTTTTCCGATGGGCACTTTGAAACAAAGCCACGCACATTAAACTCTTTTATATCGCCAACTTGTAATGTGGACAACAGTTTCTTTATTCGTCGGCCCATCAATCGTTTTGTGGCAAAATCAAAGGTCTTCCATAGACGACGGTCTTGAATCAATGTCAAAAAACGCGTGCACGTCCTAAAATGATATAAACAAACAATCAAAATTATTCAACAAATACATAAAAAAAAATCCAAACAACTTGCTGATGACCAAGACGACGATGTGAAGAAAAGAAAAACGAGTTTTTCTATATCTTCGTTTTCGTAAACAATTTATTTTTTGTTATACTCACTTCGAAAGTGCATATAATGTGGTGCAATCACAATGTTGTAAAATTTCCAATAGCACTTCGTCGGTGAAATCGAGCAATTTGAATATGCCGTCATCTTCTTCCTGGGCGATAAATCTCTTGGCCGATGAATCTGTTTCAGGCGTGCTCGATGCGCGACGTTTCCGATTATTGCTTTCATTTTTCGAATGGCAATTTGCGTCTGTGGATGACGTTGACGGCTGAATATCGTTCAATTCCTTCATTGAATTTTTTTTTTTCTTTTCACAAAATCGACGCTTTCGTTTATTTATGAAATTTCACACTGCGGCCAAATTTATATAACTAAAATAAATAAACAAACGAAAACAGAGCAAAAATAAAAAAATCACACAATTGCCTTGAATAATGTACCAAACAACACACAGAGGTTTTATTTCTCAATTTGATGGTGTTATTGTGATGCTTTAAAATGGGAATGATAAATCAATCGTATTTTTTTTACATTTTGTGCATATCAACATCCAATGAAAAATTCACTTATATTGTGAAACGCACAAATTTCCAATGGGATTTCTCATGGAAGTAGAGAGACAGAGTCCATTTTTGTTTCAATGTGAATTTTTAAATATTGCTTACCCAAAAATTTGTATGGCTCTGTTGCTCGATATTATAATTATATTTTCATCTATTCTTCGGAGAAGACTTTGTTTTTTTTTTTTGTCAATTGAATGGAACTTATCTTTGGCACCGAATGTCAAATAGTTTTCTCTTATAGACTTATACGGCTGTCTCATTCCAATCTAAATACATCATACAACTGTTGCGATGTTTGCGGTTCGTCACTTCACGCAGTATACATACATTGACGTACTAGATTTTGATGCTGATATTTTGTTTGCGGTACCGGTTTTTTTTTTCTTTTGATAAAATTTTACGCTCAAATCACGTATTCAATGCAAAATACCGCGATGCACAAAACAGAATTCGAAAAAATGCTGTTTATAGTTGGTAAATAAAGTAATGTAATGTTGGACATTGATGTTGAAAACTTAACGAGTCTTCATAGTTATCTTATATTCTTTTCGATTTCTTTTTCAATAATTCTTTTTCAGTTCTCTTTTTATTTAAAAAAAAAAAAAACATTTTAAAGATATATTACAGTAGAAGAACGAATGAACTGAAAAAAAATGAAGAATTACCAAAAGGTAATCATCAACATATTTCATCTAGGTTCGCTGCTGAGCGAACGCATTCCTTAACATCCTTATAAGTTGTTAATGCAGTAAATAAACATGTTTTTTCATGCCTACTACTAATATACACTAGCATTTTTCTTACAAACCATTCTATTCATATTCATTAAGACTGCGACAATAATTTATTTTGCTTTTTTATTTTTTTTTATTCAAAAACTAAATGTTACTTTAAAAATCACAAAGCTTAAAAAAATTATTGAAATTGAAAATTCATAAATATTCATTTTATAAAATTTGCTTGCTATTGAAACACACTCTCAATTAAATTGAAAAAATGCTTTCAAATGGACGACAATTTAATGCATATTTTCCAACCTCGACGCATTATGTGCTGATCATTGGATTCCTACACACGTTGTGTAATTCGAACTACTTTTACCAGGAGACGTGACAAAATGAATGAAAATACTAAAAACAGTATTTACGCGCGTTGTATAACCAATAAACGTACAACCACTACACCAACATAGTTTGCACTGTATAAAAACTATGTATGTTTTCTTTAAAAATCTATTTAAATCGTTTGATGTTAAATATTATGGTTCTGTGGAATGTAATGTATGCACTTTTAATTTTACGTTTTATCGCTGGTTTAAATGAATTAAATCGGTCGATTTTGCAGACAAAACATCGTTTTTACCTTATTACACATACCGATACATGATGTGACTGTGTCACTTTATATGCAGAAGGGGAATTAGCTCAGATGGTAGAGCGCTCGCTTAGCATGTGAGAGGTACCGGGATCGATGCCCGGATTCTCCAAAATCTTTTTTTTTATTTTCGGTTTTTGTTCTTTTTTCATTAGTTTTATTCATTACTTCCATCAGTTGATATAAATCAGAGTTGTTATTAATTTTAAAAATTATTTAATACGAAAAAAGCATATATTTTTATTCGATGATTTAGCATATTAATAAATGAACGAAATCTTGTATATGTTGTATGCACACATACAGAAGATAATAAAATCACCAAAACGGCCATTTTTCAATCTATTTTCATGTCATTCGCAATAAATATGCTCTTGTTGATTATTTAATGTAATTTACACTGCATTTGATGAAATTTCAGCTCATTTGGATGAGATTCCAGCAGTGAGTATTATTGAAACAAAATGGTACATTTTCCTTAAAAGCTGAATCAATATTTACACGTGGAATATTATGCAATTTTTTTAATGCTTTTTAAATAGATCATTCTGAACAAAATAACACAAAAGTGTAGCTACAGAATTGTTGCTGAGTGTAAATTGTTCATTCAAAAATTCTTAAGAGTAGATCGTAGGTCGTTTCACATTAATAAAAGCCGTTTGGAATTGACATTCAGACCGTATTTTGAGAGTTACTCAATAACAACCGCAGATACTGTGCCTTTTAACATAATTTCATATTGGTGCTTTGGAAAGGTATTTTTCGAAGGGGAATTAGCTCAGATGGTAGAGCGCTCGCTTAGCATGTGAGAGGTACCGGGATCGATGCCCGGATTCTCCAAGATATTTTTTACTCGCCAAACCATTGATGATGTGACTAGGAAAATGAACTGTTATAAATACTGATAAACGGCATAAAGAGTAAATTGATCACATCATGTATATCGTTTTGAGTAAAATTGATGAAAATAGAATGAAAAATGTGTGATAAATAAAAAACATCTTGGAGAATCCGGGCATCGATCCCGGTACCTCTCACATTTTAGCCAATTAATGTAATGCTAAGCGAGCGCTCTACCATCTGAGCTAATTCCCCTTCGAATACATTTCCAATGTGCCATTCAACATAAATTCATGTTTCAAAAAATGCTTTTTGCAGCTTAAGATCTAACAAATTTCAAGTAGTCATTAGTGTCCATAAAACAGATCTCTTTTTGTACTCATTTAGAATAACAGAATATATAATTCGAAGAATTTACATGGAATTCTCCAGAATTACCAGTGTGTTATATACAGAATAACATCAAACACATCTAATAGCAGTAGTTGTCGAGGACTATATAATAGATAATTGTTGAAATATCTTTACATTTCATTTTGAATTTATAACTCTGCACTGAGCTTTTCATACAAATTCACTATAAATGAAAAACGTAACGAAAAATATTAACTTTTTGGTTGCGATCTTGTAATTTGTTTATCAAATTGAACGGGAACAATATGAAATGGGAAAAAATCATTAAACAAGACACAGAAAACCTACTCTGCTATTTTAAAAAATGTCTAAAAATATATCAGTATTGAGAAAAATTGACGAAAATAGAATGAAGAATGTGATAAATAAAAAAGGTCTTGGAGAATCCGGGCATCGATCCCGGTACCTCTCACATGCTAAGCGAGCGCTCTACCATCTGAGCTAATTCCCCTTATAACAGTGAGTGACACAGTCGAATTTTGAATTAGTTGACCACGATACAGTATTATAGCACATTCGAGCACAGCTGTTAAAGTAATAATACTGGTTTAGTGTGTGGTGAAAGGTTAAAAAATATGTTTAGCAAACTTTAATGATTAAAATGAACCATAATATGTGGAATTCGACGTGTTTGATTCAAAATCATTTTATTCAATATCATAGCGTAAGGTTATTACATTTTTTAGCCAAGCATTATCAAAACAATTAATTACACAATGTAATTAACACCTTATCATGTCTACCATCTAGTCTTGGTAAAAGTAGTTCAAACAACACATATAAATCAATTCGAATTTAGACATTTACATATTTGCATAGAGGTCTATTCATTTGGTTTCGTGAATGTTTGCGACTTTCTACTGAAAGATCAACTTAACAGCTATAAAAAAATGTCTTCTTCTTTTTTAATCAAAGTTTTTAAATATCAACAGTAAGCACAACTAACCGCTTTCCGATAGCTCATATGAGTCATAAATAAATCTGAAAGATTATAAATATTCATGATTTTAAGTAAGGTATTTTAAAAATCAGGTAAACACTGCAACGTGAACACATATGAAAGCACTATCTATAAAGTAGCGAAAAAAACAGCACCGATTTTTTTACAGCACATTAAATAATTGACATTTGATCGCTGTATATTTTGTTCTGGTGGTTGCAAAGAATGCAGCCCGAATCCAGACGAATAGCTTCCTCGAATTTCATTTTCGAACTTTGCAGCTACAAACAGATACATAAGAAACACATGTAAGTAGGCTGTTTTACTTTTGCGCTGTCTGTTTGTATATTTGGTTTTTGCTCACATAAATTTGTATTCGTCTTTTTGCAGAATATTCTGTATGTTATTGTTTTCTTCTTAGGCCGTCGTCTCATATTTGATTTCTTCCACATCTATCTGATTTCATAAATTTATTCAAACGGGCATTTCACTTTTCATTCATCCATATTCCTCCAACTGTGACTTTTGGCCTCATCGCCTTTCTTTTATTATCCTTAACGCATGGCACATTACACTCAACACTATTCCCTTACATATTATTTATCTAGATTTCGAAGTCATCGTCCTTAAACAAATGAAAATCGTTCTTTTCTTTTTTTAAAAAAAACTTCAAGGGTTGGTGTGCAGCACAGAATGATGTACAAATTAGTAAATCACTAGTAAGATCGACTTATGCACCGTTAAGAAACCGTGTGATCGGTACGCTATCCAATTCAAAAGAATTTTCGAAAACCTTCTATTGTCCATCCAGCTCGCCAATGAATCCATCTAATAAATGTGAAATTTGGTGATCACTTTTCTTCGTTTACTCCATGATGAATTATTATAACTGTTTAGAAATGGATTCGGCCGAAATAACACTGCTACAAAAACAACTGTGCAAATGATACTTTTCAAGAGTTCAAATTTATAATATTTATATTTTTCCTCAATAAAAACATGTAAATTCTTGAATCAATCTGAAACCATCTGATATGGAATACACGCAATTTTTACTCAATTTTGGTATATTTGCTTCCTTATTTTTAAATTTAAAATTCTCGTTGTTCAGAAAGTCGATAAATTGAAAAAAAAAAAAAACATCTTGTTAGGCAATGAACACAATTGAGTGGTTGACTTTTTCGAAAAAATTTGAGTATCAATTGAATTCAACCACCGGAATTAGAAATAAAAGTAAATTAAATTGATTTTAAATTATTCGGATCGTTTTGGAATCGGATCATTATCAATCTTGTCTATATTTTTCTAAGTTTGGATTTTAAGTTAGACGTTAGAACTATTTTGAAAATTTCACCATTTAATTTGAGGCCAAAATATATATAAAAGTTTTTATAAAGTTATTAGGGTAAATCCTCCCGCCTCCCTCCTCCGCACACTACAGCCATATTTTAAATGTTAATACTAAATGCATATTTTGACATTTTGCGATTTTCCTATGATTCAAACCGTTAGAATACATTTAATTGAAATTTTACAGTGTACACGTACAGAGACACAATACCGCCGATCTGTTGCTTGAATAAATTTTAGGGTTTAACAAAGGCAAGATATCTGTATGGTGCTGTTTCTGTTTAATATAGGTAATTCAGTTCTGTTTAATATAGGTAATTCATTGCCGTCTAGGCATATGCTGATATATTCTCGTATAAATCTGTGTAAAAAGAATCGAGAGATAACGTTCATTGTAATCTCTATGTTCTATATAGTTTTTTTAACTTTGGATTATATTTGAAAACATGGATGTAAATTTTCGACATTCACTCAATTTCAATCAATTGTTTAATTCATATCGATTTTTACATTTTAAGAATTAATCGATTGTGAATTTCCAAATGCTCTTTCATCAATCCATCAAATAAATTTGAAAAAGCGTTCAAAATGCCCTTTGACGTTCAGCCAGACGCTTATCTGGTGATCTTTGTAACTTTTAAAGTATTTTTGTTTCGATTCATCAATGCGAATGTTATCATTAATTAACAATAAAAACGATGACGGCGACGTCGGCGATCAAGACGCGCGCAATTTTATGAGTTAAACTCATTGAGATCAAATAAGGTTTAGGCAAGATGCAAATATTATGTCTGTCATTGTGCGCTATGGCCTATGTAATTTCTATGCTTTAACTATGTCCATGTGTGTATTTTGCGATGCTATTCACTGAGTGCAGTGCTTACAACCATGAAAATGTCAAACAAACACATGAAAAAAACACAAACAAACTCAAATAACGTTAATCTACATAACATTATATTGACCGACAAATTTCTATGAATTGATTAATTGCGATACACTACGTTAGCAAATAACTTGAAAGAGAGTTTTGATTTTGTATTTACGTTTTTAACGAGAAAAAAAAGCAACCACAAGCATTTTACTTAGCACACTATCGTTTTAACGCCTCATAATCAGCCAAAATAGTCAAATAAATAAACCATAAACGCTATTATACATCTTATTAATCGGTCAGTTTATTCGAGTCGTTGTCACGAACTGGTCGAGCAAAATTTACGAAATATTTTCGCAAGTGTTTTTTTTTGTATTTTACTTTGTTATTTGTATTCCATTAGTTGTGCACAGCACGCAAAATCTCTGGCTTCATTTGCGAGGTTTAAAAGGTAAAAACAAGTTTTTTTTCAATTTTATATTGAATTTGTCATGAACGAACGACGCTGGTTTATAAAGATTTGTTCGTTTTTTTCGTATTTGTGAAATTAAGTGAAATGTTGTTAATTGTATTTTATTCTCAATTTTTAAGCAATAAAATCTTTTCAGACTTGTCTTAATTGAAAAACACATTTGGCGTATTTAAATCAAGTGAAAAAGTTGATAACATTTGAAAGCGAGCTATACTAATGTGAAAATATTCGCGTAAAATTGTTTAATGGCAAATAAAATCATAATTAGATTTTTTCAAATACTATAAATGAAGTCATAGTCGAGTTCGACACATGTTATTCAGGCCAATTTGCCGGAAAAAGTGTACAAAACTAGGAATCCCAAGTGAACAATAATACCTTTGTCCGATGGAATTGAACATTTACATAGAAAAACATTCACTATTACTGTGAATACTACTAAAAAACAACAAACTATTTTTAATATATTTTACAAAAATTATCACCTAGAGAGTGATGAAACCAATTTTTCAGTCAATTTTTCAAATTTATAAATTGACAAAGTCCTCGAAATGTTGACGACTTTTGTTGCTGTGAAAGAAGAGATATTGTTGCCGGTAAAAAATGGAATTGTCTTCGGTTTTGTACGAATATATTAAAATTGATCAATGTCAAAGATATTATGGCTGTATATTTTGTAATGTGATTAATTGTCCGAGAATGAATGTGAGACTGCTCTCGAAATTCCACAAAAGTGGTGTTACACATACAGAAAATTCCAATTTTTATATGTTGGTGTAACATTTCAATAGAATCTCATAAGAAGTCTCAAATTTATTCTCGAGCATTCAATTGTTTCAGGCGATGTGTTTGATTTGTTTATTAACGTATTTACTCATTCAAGCAACAATTGGCTTTGACACCGAACAAGCCATTAAAAATGCCAAAGTGGCCTTAAACTTGATCATTATGCGGTTAATAAAAACGACCAACACCGAAAAAAAGAGACATTACTTGAGAAGCATATGTTTTCATGTATTTTTCAAATGACCTTGACGCAACCAGAATTGATTGTCATCGTATTACGTTTATGAGCCAATTCAGAAATCCACGTCTTTTCACTCTCGACGAAATACAAAAAAAATTGATTTCAATAGTTGTAACTGCGTCGAAAGTTGATACGATTTAAAGTCGACATGCTTTTTAAAGCGGCTAAATTATATTACTTTGCTGTAACATTGAACACCATATAATCGGAAACGATACAACAGTAGTTTTTGCTGCTGCTCAGTCATTTGGTGTCTTGAAAACAAAAGTTGAACTATTCGCACGGCAGTGAGTCATCAAACTTGTGCATGCGGGAATGATTATAATACAATATCGTTACATTAAATTGTTCAAAAGAATAAAGATACGCAGTTAAGGTGCATTAGCGCAAAAACCGTATCTTATTCAAAAGTTAATAGAATTCCAAGGTTTTTATTTAACTCACATATTCGAAATGTTTTCAATTCTCAACTCAAATGCTATCGCATATAGCTGGTTGTAAAGACTGTCTTTTAAAGACACATTTCGACTTGATCGGCATATATTTTTTTGGCCAGCCAGTTTAAAAACAAAAACAAAGTGATTCAACAAAAGTCACACTACTCTCGCCGAAAGAATAATTCGCAGAAAAAATTCTGTATCATCTCAACACATTAATAATAAAAAATGTGGTATAATCTTGTTTTGTGTCGGTTTTGTCATTATTTTGATTAATGTAAGAATTCCCAATTGACAAAGTTTCATTGACACCGCACTTGAAATAGAATGAGCGAATCCATAGTTGTGTTGATGATTTGTTACGTTGTTTTTATTCATAAAAAAAAGCGAAAACTTAAGCATGTGTATCGAAAATACATATTTGTATACTTTTGATTTTTTTTTTTCATATCTACCATACGAGAACGCATATTCGTTCAAGATAAAAGTTTGTGTATATGATCGTTTTTATCGCTATTTTTATTTCTCTTTGTTGTTTTTCTCTCTCTCTTTCAACTCGATAAATAGATAAATTCAACCGAAAATGATCGAAGCCGGTGTTTTGCTGCCTTCGTGCGCGTTCGACAGCGTCAAGCGGCGGCCAGTTAGTCGCGTTGCAGCATTGTGCAGGTAACAGTATCATTTGTTAGTTTGAGCTAAAAGAATAAAGAGGTGCCGAACATAAATTCACTGAAACTACACAGTTACGGAAAGTTAAACAACTCTTGTACGTTTATCGTTCTAAAGTAATAAGTATAAAAACAAAGTGCATACGCAAAACAATTGTGTTGAACATTATTCCACGGTTATCAATTGAGGTATCTCATATTTTTAATTAAATATTTTTGTATATATTTTTTTTATCGTTTGTTTGCGATAAAACCTTGTACACGAACATTGACGTTTCACATTCGAACTCGAATTTGAATGAATAATTGTTATTGAAAATTGTTGTAATTGTATCATATCATTTTATTTTCTAAATGTCAACCTTTTATCTGTGACACTAATTACCACACCGAGTCAAAGGCATTGACATTTTATGTCATTTTGAAATTTTTTCTTTGCCTTTTTCCCATTTTCAAACCAAAAAAAAAAAAATTCTCGTGTAACTGTAACGTTAATGACCAACTTAAAATTATTACTCAGCGAACTGTGAAAATAACGAAAGATATGTTGTTACAAAAAATAGCCCACGATTGAAGTGATAATATGCTTTAAACATTTTAATTAATTAATTAAAAACGCGACATACTCCGCAATACATATGACTAAGTGTGGCCAGGAAGTTTCTCTTTTTTTCAATTTTCCCTTTGGTCTCATGATTATTCCTGTTTTGTTTTCAACTTTAGTTCACTGGCTATACTGGAATTGTCGGTTTGCGTGTGTAAAACCCATTTTCTGAATCTGAAAAATGATTCATTTGATAATCTTTTGTAACAACCTGCAAAATATTGCTTAATATGTGTATGCATATGTATAAAGTGTATTTGTCTCGCCACCATTCGCGTGCATCATTCACATGTGGGAAATTCACTAAGGAAATGTGAAACATTGGTTTTTATGTCAAATATAAGCCACACCGATGACGAACCGAATATTTTCTACTCGCCGATTTTGGCTTGGCACCGAAATTAACATACAAATTGATTTAGTAAATTGCATAAAACACAAATAAACAAACTATATTTCATTTCGTTTAACCGACAACAGTTTGCTATTGGTGGTGTCATTGACAAGAGACTGTTTTGCAGCAACGACTACAGGACGGGATAGTGTTATACCGACAGCCAGAGGAAATACACAAGGAAACAAAAATACAAGACCAACAGTCATGCATCCTGCATTTCAAAATGCTGGCAGAGCAGCAGGACTAGAAATTTGGCGTGTTGAGGTAATTTTCATCACATTTTTAAAGCAATAAATCAAAGATAATTTTTAAAAAAATTCCGAGATGTGAGAACGAATGAGATGAAATGGAAAAAAAAAAGATTCCATCAATCCACATGCATTAAAAGAAATTTATGAGTTTTAATTAGTGGAACACATTTGCATGCGAATTCAAATGTCATTTTGAGCGGAGTTTATAATTCATTGCAAATATTTTCTTCGGATGTTGTGCACAAAATTACCGTTGTTATACGGGTAACAAATAGATGATCTGTGAAGTGGCAAAGTCACACTTTTGTAGGCGATCAGAAATATTCTACAGACAAGAATTCATCGACTTGATTTTTAGACAAGAATTCATCGAAATTATTCGACATCGAAAACTTTCTCAATATGAACAATTTGAAGATCAAATGAATGAGATTTTTTTTTCATACAATAATTTACTGCATATTGATCACGTCGCTCATATTTTTTCGACAATCAATATTTGGAATTAGAGAAACAAATGAACAAAATCTCGGCTTCCGATACCTCTGCCATTTGATACATTAAAACTGAGATTCCAACTATGAACGTTTTGGTGGAATTCATCATGATTTTTTTTTCGCTCATAAATAGTTACTCTACTTTTCATCTGTGGATGCTTCAAGTCATTTAAATTTTGTTGTTGTTCTTCAAACTCAAAATTTTCGGAAAATACGAAATTCCCAAAATAGATGCATCTCTGATGACATATGAGTTTGTTTCATTTCAAATTCCGAATGTTGCCTTATGGCCTGTACGAACTTTTATTGCCGGCAAGCAGCAAGTCGAATGTGTAACCATTTCGATAAACGAATATTAAAGTAAAATTAGCATTTGTTTTTATGTACATTTCATTAAAATTTTATCTATTTTTTTGTTCGTTTCCAATTACTGTCGCTTTCGCTCGATTACAATCAGCATTTGTACGTCTACCCTCGCTCACACAACTAAATTTGACACACATGCAAGCACAATTTTTCGGTTCGTGTTCGACAAATATTCTAAGATATGTGCTCGATCCATAGGCTCTCCGTTCCTCTGTCGATCGGTTAGAGCATAACTCTTTCTTTTTAATGTTTTCATTTAAAAAATAGCTCTCGTTTCACTGAATAAAATTCACAATTGAAGACAAATCGTTTTTTGCTTTGTTAAATATGAATGGCAGACGTTTCGATAGGGATTTTTTTTTATTATTCTTCTTTGGTGTGTTAGACAATTTACTTCAATGGTGGCTTTTTTCTCGTTGAATGTTTGTATGCGATTACAATAATTGACTAAGCGTTGACTAGAATAGCGTATGTAGGTGTATAATTATAACCAATTTCGCAAATGAAATGTTATGCTACGCTTCATCTTGAAACGCTCACATTGTTTTGGGTTGAATGATGCCCGATCAGAGAGTAAAGAGGAGAGAAAAAAAAACGATCGCGGTAAATAAAAGCGATGAAAACTAAAAACAAAATTGATATATGGATTGTTTTTGTTTTTATTTTTATCTTTTATCGAACGCTCGAAGACACAAGCAAATTGAAAGAAAAAATGAGTTTTCATTTTCACAGATGAACAACCGGCATAATTGTTGTAAAAAAGTACACGGCGTATAACACTTATGATTTGCGCAACAAAGCATTGATTTCTTCTTCTTCTTCTATTTTTTTTTCTTCATTTTTTGCACACCGTTTGCACCATGAACAAATCCAATTTTCAATTGAGCAAATAAAGAAAATCGGTTAATTCGATAGCAAAAAAATATATATATGGTTAATTCGAAATTAACATACACAATGGCAATGCCTATATGCAGTAATCGCTTACTGATCGAAAACATCGAAAATGATATAAACGGTTATTTAAGAATTTTCATTTTTTTTTTATTTGAAAGCAACGCGCTAGAAAAATAAAAGCAACGGACTTTCGAACATATACCATAAATACGCGATTCGACCAGAGGCAGCGGCAACAGTAGCACGCAACTATTGATTTTGACTGCAGTCGTGCTTACGATTTGTGTTACGCACTGAATATCTACATATGAGATGAAATGCGATGGATAAATGTCGCAAGCAATTCATGCTAATATACTACACGGTGCTTAGCTTACGACGTCTAAAATAGGCTACTTTCGTTTGGAAAATGTGCGGAGGAAAAACAACACGTTTTAATTGAGTCGAAGCCGAGATCACAGAAGATCCATTTAGATACCGTATACGACACATCATGATCGAGTTTCGTTAATACGAGATAAAAAAAACATGGGCATTTTTAAATCAAGACGCTTCGGCAGTAATTTGTTGTTTTGCAAATTATTCATAAGCATATTCATATTCGGAGAGATCTTGAACAAGCACACTCATCGAAAAAAAACACATCATCTTATAAATAATTCATTCGCTCATATTTTGTAAATCAATATTGCGCGCACATTACATTTGACGTTGTACATTAAATCAGCTTCGAAAATCAATAGTCACTTGTGAACAACTGATTTTATTTCTTTGATGTACTCGATTTGATGATCTTGTTGTTGGTTTTATTTATATTCGATTTTTACAAGCCGAAAAGTAAATAAACACGTTATAAATTTTGCTTGAAAAATTATGAGAAAGTTTTCACATTACACGAAAACCGATATATTTTTGCGTAATTAATTTTTTTCTGTGTGGATATTTTTATATTACAGAATTTTGAACCAGTCGCTGTTCCAGCTAGAGACCATGGAAAATTCTTTACTGGCGACTCGTATATTATTTTAAATGTACGTATTAAAAATGCTCATAATTTGCGTCGACTTTATGCCCCGCATTCTTATTACCACATCGTCGGCATATTTTATTTTTAGACCAAAGAAGACAACAAGAAGCGCTTGTCATGGGATGTGCATTTTTGGCTGGGCTTGGAAACGTCGCAAGACGAAGCTGGTGCAGCTGCGATTCTAACCGTACAGGTAGGTTTTTAACAACCTTTTTTTTTCGTTCAAATCGTTTATTAATGATATTATTCTAAATCAAATCAAAGTTGGATGATTTGCTTGGAGGTGCTCCCGTTCAATATCGTGAAGTTCAAGAACATGAATCGGCCAAATTTTTGGGATACTTTAAAAATAGTATGTATTTTCTAAAATATATACATTTTATCGAGAAAAAATGGAACAAATTCACCATCAATAAAAAAAACCTTTCACATAGGTATTCGATATGTTGCTGGTGGTGTTGCAAGTGGTTTCCATCATGTCACTACAAACGATGATAGCCAAAAACGTTTGTTCCAAGTCAAAGGAAAGCGTAATGTGCGCGTACGAGAAGTTGGTCTCTCCGTTTCAAACATGAACAAAGGCGATTGTTTCATTTTGGAAAGTGGTCGAGATATTTACGTTTACCAGGGACCAAGTTCAAAACGCGTCGAACAATTGAAGGCAGTTAGTGCGGCAAATCAAATTAGAGATCAAGATCACAATGGTCGTGCTTCTGTGCATATTTTGGGTAATTGATGTCATGAAATTGATAAATGTTTTGGAAATTTGACGAAAACTGTTTCTCTTCAGATCAATTCAGTAGCGCTGACGATAAGGAAGAGTTTTTCCAGATATTGGGAAGCGGGTCACCAGATAAAGTTCCAGAAGAATCAACATCCGAAGATGATGCTGCATTCGAAACAAAAGATGCTGCCGCTGTCACCTTATACAAGGTTCGTTTGACAAGTTCTATATTTTTTTCTGTTGCTTTACGATTTTCGTTTTACAACGCAAGGTAACCGATTCGGCTGGCACATTGAAAGTGGAAACAATTTCAACAAAACCAATTCGTCAAGAGATGCTCAAGAGCGAGGTAAATATACGACTTATTCTATAATGAACGTACAAAAATTTAAACGACTCTTTTTTATTTCAGGATTGTTTCATTCTGGATACTGGTAGTGCACTTTTTGTTTGGGTTGGTCGTGGTGCCACTCAACAAGAAAAATCCCAATCAATTGTACGCGCTCAAAGTAAGTAACGGACAGAATTTTTCTTTTTCAACCAAAAATTCACCACTATTGATTTTATTTGGTTCAGACTTTATTCAATCGAAAAAGTATCCATCATGGACACCAGTGCATCGTATTGTCGAAAACGCTGAGACAGCACCATTCAAGCAGTATTTTGCAACATGGCGTGATGCTGGCATGCAACATAGACGTTTGATTCGTGCTGCCAAAGATATCGACAACGATTCGGGCATGGAAGATGAAATCGATCCAAATGAGATTCGCGCATTGAAAAAGAGCGGTGGTCGTGCTATTGGTTTTATGCCTGACAGTGGTGAGGGTAGCATTGAAATTTGGCGCATCGATAATAATACACCAGTTGCTATTGAGCCATCTGGCATTCTATTCGGATCGAAAGCATATGTTCTGAAATATCACTATAAAAATGCTAGTGAAGAAGGTTTTGTCATCTACTATTGGCAAGTATGTATAAGTTTTATTATATTTTATACAGTAGAAGTTGGGTTTTACCTTTGCTATCCGAGATTTTCAATTTTACACAGAGATAGACAGAAATGAAAAAGTTAAAACAAAAAACTTTTCATTTTTGAAATCATCCCCTCTCTGAGAAGATTCTGAGCTAGCTCATTACCGAAACATTTTTATACATTTTTCAATATATTTTATTAAATGAATAGACAAAAAAATATTTATTAAAATGCACATTGAATTTAGGGTAAAAATGCATCGAATAAGGATAAGGCAACATCGGCAATGTACACATCACAATTGGATCGTGAACTGAATGATGTAGCGTTGCAAGTGCGCGTTGTGCAAGGCTATGAGCCACGACATTTCTTAAAAATTTTCAAAGGCAAATTGATAACATACATAAACGATGATGCTGCTGATAAAACCCATTTGTTCCGTGTTCGCGGTACCAGTATCGATGATGTGCGAGCCGATGAACGTGACCCAATTGCTGCATCATTACAATCGGACGATGTGTTCATTTTACGAACACCATCAAATGCATTCATTTGGAATGGACTCGTAAGTGCAACGAAGGTTTTTTTCAATGGCATCGACCTTTATACGCAGATGTGCTATCTTGATCTATTCTGTAGGGCGCTTCGAAATTCGAAAAAGAAATGGCTTCTGTTGTCGTTAATGCTGTTTCTGCAAATCGCATTGACGCACAAATAATCAATGAAAATCATGAGCCAGATGAATTTTGGACGGCACTCAATGGCAAAAGTGATTACGATACCGAACTTGATCCACCGGGAGCACCATTTTTGGAACCACGTTTATTCCATTGCAAATTATTGTCGAATGGTAAATTGCGCGTCGAAGAAATTGACGATTATCAACAAGACGATTTGGATGAAGATGATGTTATGATTTTGGATGGCGGTGATGAGGTTTATGTGTGGGAAGGAAATGATTCAAGCGAAGAAGAACGACGCAAATCAATTGAAGTGGCTCATGTAAGATATGCCAATAAACAATTTCATTCAAATCGTTACTCGCTCTCATCGAATCACAATCACAGACATATAACAAATAACATCTGAAAAAATATCAAAATATACAAAACATAACCCTCATTGTCATAAATGTCATTTTCATAAGACTCATACTCACAAACACACATTTGCCATCCATATTTTATATCATTTCGATGTTTTTTTTTTAAATAAATTTTATGGCGCTTGCAGCAATATATTCACAACGACCCATCGGAACGTTTGGAGGAAAATGTTGTCATTGTTAAAATTCGTCAGGGCAATGAGCCAAGAAGCTTTAAACGTTTGTTTCCCACATGGAACAAGAACATGTGGAAGGTTAGTAAAAACCAATAAAAATAAAAACGATATTCTTCGACCCTGAAAGTGTGTGATAAACCATTTAACTAATTGAAAAGCAACAACAAGACAATGCTGATTATTTTAAGTGTTATCAATTAACCAAAAACAATAATGAATGATCAACCTTTTTTTACTCAATTTTTTAGTAATAATAACTGAAAGAAAATATATATAATCGCTACTGACAAGTTTTTTTTTTGCTGTGCCTTGACATTACAATTTATGTTATAACAAATGTTTAAATATATTTACTAACTAAAATATAATTTTTGAACGAAAAAGACTAGAGATGTATAACGAAGCCGTTTAATTAACAACCTAATTTGGCATTAAAATTGTTCTATTAACATTTAATGTGAAAGGAAACGGTTGAAACTAATCAAACGGTTGAAGTGTGCTAAATTAAACGAATCGAAATTGAAAACCTTTTTCTAATATTGATTTATAAATATATATGCCAATTCCAGTCTCGCCCATCATACGAACAATACAAAAGAGAAACATTGCAGAAGAACACACTAAAATGAAACACAAAAAATGTGTGTATGTGAAACTCAAGACGATTGATTGGAATTTAATAGCACATTATCAAATATGCATCGATATTTATTGATTTTCTTCAAAAAAAAATGAAAAATAATTACCAACAACAGCAAAATGTTACCAAATTGAGCGCACATTGAAATAAAAACTTTTGATAAAACAGAATAAATTGTTTCTATGTATAATAAAACTAAATTAAAATCTATGTTTAAATCAAGTTGCGAAACTTTTGAGCTTAAGTCCGCTGACGCCATCTATTGACGAAAAAGTAAGTTAATAAAATGAACAACGAATTAAGTCCCCACCATAGTCACAAAATCAAAATGAATTTTGGCTGGAGAAATTTGATGTAAAAATTACAGATTATATATGGGTAAGTCGAAAACCAAGTGAAAACCGCACACAAACAAAATGATCTCTTGTAATATCAACAATGCAATTCATCTTAGTCAAATATGCCATAATAGATGTGTTGCGTGCAATGCAAGATTTAATTTTATATGTTTCATCAGCACGAGCACAGCATATTTGATTTAAACCGAATGCACACCATTTAGTCCGGGTTATGGTGTGCGGCTCCAAATGGCCACTTCTGTTTGCTGTGGAAACAGTTACAGGCCAATCAACAGCATGTAGCAGCCTAATCGCGCACTGAATATATGCATCATTTGTGCATGGTGAGCCACCAATTATCTATATATATATATTTAATAAAATGAGAGAGAGACGACCAAAACGATCAGTCATTTCACTACACATGTGAGTGCGAGCAACAAAAACAATGGTTGTTTGCGATATAAATTCCGTTTTTTTTTCTTCTTCTTCGTACGATTCAAATTTCAAAGTTGCAATTGTTTAACACAAAAAAAACTGAAATTATTTTGTTTATGTTTCGAATTAAGTGTACTGTACGGATTTTGCCATTGTACTCTGCTGGGTGCATTTCATTGTTTGTCGCTCAAGTGATAAATAGTTGAAGTTGGGTAAAACGATTTCGCATGCATGAGCGTAATTAATTAAAAATCAACGACAATAAACAATAGTGGAAAAAAGGTCGGGCACACACACAAATACATAGCTGCATGCAGTAAATAGAACAGGAAAATGAAATAAAATGCGATAATCAGTTCGCTAAGTTGTGTATACGGATTGTGTTGGTTGCTTTGGTTTTTTTTTTCTCTCTTTTTCGTTCATATTCAATATTTTATACTTCGCTTGGATTTGGCGAATGCATGCAATTCAGTATTTCACATTTCAGGTTTTTTTTTTGAATTGTCGTTTTGCCACTCGATTCGCTGTGACAAAATTAAAAACAAAGAACACATAGCGTCAACGACAACGATGACTATAAAAAAACACACACAAAAAATGTCAAATACAAGACAAAAAAATTATTGTTGATTTTAGATTTCCTTGCATATTTACGAGATGTATTTATTTGGGTTAGAGAGAAACGATATTTTTGCGTCAGTGTAATGAAAATATGTTTGGATGTAATGGCCTGTGTTGTGCACGTAAATAATTTTGTTGCACATAAAGTGGGTAATAATTTGCTTTAATCGTTTATTTATGTGGCTAAATTAGGTTCAAACTCTGAGCGGTTTTTTTTATCTTGGCGCTTATTTTTTGTGTCCCTATTCGTAACTCATTATTGTCGTTGAAAACCCGTTTTGCATTCAAGTTGTTAGCACATTAATTCAAAAAAGTCTTTGCAATGATTTTAATTACAGATTAAGAACTTTGAGTAAATTACGATACGATTTATGGTTAAATTTTCATATTTTAGTTGGATCCTGATTTGTTTTCAATTTTGTGATACATAAAAGGATAAAACACAAGAATCACATTAGCAAAGCTAATTTATATTTTATTCATTGAATATATTTTTATATTTTCGGTTGAACGTACCGATTTTTCTGTAATAATAAATGAACCGTCCCTCTTTCTAATGCACATAGGGATGAATCGAATGGTTGTGAATGGAACACAAAAATTCTCCAGTAATAATGTTCAGTCTCCGCCTAGTTCCTCTATTCATCAATATCACACAGAAATGGCGTAACCATTCGACACGCTATGCATATGCACATCATATCAATTCATTGCCCCTGCTGCAGAGTTCATTTTCCCCTCAACAATGTTTACGTACGAATGCTTTGAATTTCGAAGGAGCACGTGAATATCATCACTTCGAAAAGGTATATCAGTTGTGCGCAGCTGCACTGCGTCGATGAACACACGTCCAAAAATGCATCAAATAAACCTTGCATATGGATGGATGGATGGATGTGGAACTAGATGTGCTATTTAGAATTTGTTAATAAAACGGAATCGTAACCGAACCGAAACAATTTTTCAAGTGGATTGAATGAAGTAGCTACAGGAGCAACTGTTATTATTCTTATTGTTGTTGTTACTGTGCGCTCGACGTCGTCTCTGTTGCCGTTGTCGGTCGTTGCTGCTGCCGTTGTCGTTGTCGTCGTTGCTCCTCTCTATCCATTTCCAATGTTCTATCGTTGATACTGTTGTTATTGTACCACATGAGTAGTAGATGTTTGAAATCAACAACGCGGAGGCTCTGAATCAACGAGTGGTTTCAGTCATTTCGGATACTTTCATTCATCCGGTCGAGTATTTTTCACGCTGTCGTCATTGCCCGTGTAAGAATTTACGTAGATTTATCAGCTCATTTCAGCTGTTCATCGTACATTGTGTGACAAATATATATGTATTTTTTTGCTCGTGATAACAGTCCTTAAGTTGAATCCAACACTAAATTAATTGAAGAGAAACGAACGAAAACTAAAAACGAAAAAAAAAATTGTCCGTTTTTTCTTCTCTTTGCACTCTTTGCATAGAGAGAATACGAAATTTGTTTCTCAACGGATTTTACATTGATAAAAATTGAATTACCGGTTTTCGATTAACTCGGCCAAAAATCGAAAGATTTCCATGTGCTCAATTTCATGCAATCGTTTGAATGTCCCGAAGTTTTGAAGTTAAAACATCAGCAAATTGAAACGGAATTTTCACCGAAATTAGTTTTCGGTCTATTTGTGTCATAATTTCCGTTTCAATCACCAAAGCAACACACCGGTAATACAGACATAATATTTTTCGTTTCGATTAAAAAAATCGCTTTCCGACCGTTGTGCAAGTTATAAGTCAATCAAGAAAGAAAAAAAAATTTTGTTTGGTATTTACCGAATGCAAATTTCTTCAGTGTGGTAAAAGCAGCAGAGCAAAAAAACGTAGGTGGTGTGCATATAGTAAATTCCATTTAAATCAAGCAAATAATCAGCTGTAAAAAAAGAGAGAAAAAAAATCGCTTTTTTATTTCCTTAAATCAAGAACGGAGAGAGAAAATCAAACAAACGAATTTCACGCGATTCTTTTTTGTCGCTTGACATTTTTTGTTTCTATCGAGAAAGCCGCAATACATTCACTTCCACATCAGTGAACATTTTCCAACAATTTTTGATTCGATCCGATGGTAAAGTGATAGATTTTCAACCAAAGAAGCAAACGAATCACATTTTTTTTGGCGAATTGAAAAACGAAACAGCAAACTAAAAAGTGTGAAAAATAGAGAAACAATACAAAAAGAAAATAAAGTAAAAAAAGAACCGATCAAGAAAAAAAAAACGAAAGAAGAATGAGTTAAACGTAAGAAAGGAAAATAAGGACGAAAAGTCAATAACATTCAACAAATGTTTATTTGAAAAGTGTATGCATGAACAAACAAATCAATACAAAGTGAAGAAGTCCAAAAGAAAACGACCAGAAAAATAATACAATAACAATAAACAACAAAAAAAAAATTAAAATTGCCCCACGACCAAATAAACAAATATTCAAACAGAAAAAATTGGTTTTTTGTTTTATTGAAAGAAATAAAAAATCGAAGCGATAACACCTTAATCTATATTGAGCGCTGACAGATAATTCTCACCATTTTGCAACAAAGTTATGATTAAATGCCAACACTAATCGTTCAGTGTAATCAGTTTTAACATAAGCACTTAAATGTTTTTCATGTTTGTTCGTTGTCACTGATATTGCGTTCGCTTGATGCTAATAGGAAAAAAAAGTATAAAGAGCAAGAGCAGTAATAAAGTGCTGATTCCGTGCACGCCACTTTTAACATCGTCATAAAATCAAATACCCAACAAATTGCTGAGCACTTTTTTTTGCCGAACGAAAATAAATCCAATTAAAATCCATTTAGAAGAAAGACGGAAAACTGCAAAGACCAAAACCAGTAACAGAAAAAAAATATTTATAGCAAAGAAATCAGTGTGACCGAACTACTGTAGTTGATTGCTTTTATTTGAACACAAACACACACAAAAAAAAACATTTGGTGTAAATCGAAAGAGGATAATAAAAAAATTGTGTGCAGCCACGAAAAATCACGGACCAAAGATATTCATCGAAAGTGGTGAGTTTTAGCTTAGTGTTTTTTTTACTCTTCTCACTTCTGTTTTTAATGGTTTACTACGTGTTAAATTTAAAATGGATTGAAATGGAACAACTGTTAATCAGGTTATTTATTCGCTTGACACAGAGGACATTTTCGTTGGAATCCTTCTTTGAACAAAATAAAAAAAAAACGCTGAAATTTCTTCGACGCGAAAAGACATGAATTGATTCTACATGAACTCAAGTTGAATTGTCCACTTTAAATCTATGGCCATAATAGAATAATTTTCATTCAATTATAGCTCAAATGATTTAAAAGCCCTTGCCCCAACCATTCCTTTTCCATTCTTTCATTTTAATTGATGCTGAGAATTCTCTCTGTTAGTCTTTTTGTGGCTTAAAACTTAACTCATATTTTCCATCCATTTCTTTTCTGTTGTGGTAAAATCCACCATTCTTACCGATGGCTATGGTGCAATAGCAGCACAATGAAGTAGTCAATAGATGAGCAGCACAAAAAAATAGAAAAAAAAATAAAATAATAACAACAAAAAAAAAACGGCGATGACGATGAAAGCGATAGAAAAAGTTGTGAAGAAAACAATTTGCATTCAGTGAGATTAAAGCAAGTAAATTTACCCATTTCCTGTACACAAAATACTTGTTTGGTATCAGGTATTCTTCATGTACTCTTTCTGTGTCTTACTCTTTATATTTTTCTCTCTCTCTCACGGAAATCGTTTAGCAGATTCAGTCTTTGTGATCCTTCATGCATACTTTGTCGATGCATAGTTGCAAACCATTCCACAAAATTAATTTTTCCATTTTTTTCTTCACTCTGTTCATTCTTTCTTGTATTTGCAACTAGATTAGTTTTCTCAAAGTTTAATTTTCTTCCTTGACGTGTTTAGTTCGCAATACACACTGAACTTTTAAATGGATACCGAACCAAAGCTGAATTGTCGTCTTTATCTTTGATATTTGCGCCTATTTTTTCTATTTAGTTTGTGGATGAATCTTGTTGTCGTATGTGCGAGATTGAACGATTTTCTTTATGCTTTGCGCTTTTCATACATAATTTTTGTTTTATTCTCGTGGTATTTTTATTTTTTCTTCCTACATTTTTTTCTGGATTTTTTTCTGCTTCATTCTTGTGATCCTCTTGTGCTTTTTAAAATATATCCTTTTGGTATGGCAGTAATTTGCGTTACACTTTTCATTTTTGTTTTGTTGTCTTATTCCCCAAAGAAAATTCTGTTGCTATTATCGTTTCAAACATAGCAGTATCATGAAAAATGAAGAGCCGCAGGGTTTTGCTCTATGCAAAGAAATACGGTTAATGAAGAAAACAATGCGAGGGCCGTTTTTAGCGATGGTGCATGCGACCAAGTGAACAGTTCAAAAGAAGTTTTCTTTGTTCATTCTATTTATCACCTTTGCTCAACGACTTACCGGAGACAAAAAAAATGAACAGTAAATAAATCCATGGCTCTTATCAGGTGCAATCATTTTTTTGTGCCTCAATCACTCGAATACACTCGACAATTCTCAAACAGATATCTAAAACAGTTGCAAATTTCTTTTGAACACAAACTGTAATGAGTCAACCAATCAATTATCATTATGAAGTTTTTTTTTGTCCTGCATTTCATTCTGACAAAAACATTGTGCCTGTGAATAAATTTAACCAACGCATTTGTCTCGTTAGGAATTCAATTTTTTTTTATTTTGTTGGTTTTCAGATATAGATATAGATTCTGTAGTTCCACATAAATATAATTATTGACAGATGATTCCAAAATTATACCAAAAAAATATGCAGCAGAAAAAAAATTGTTCGCTGAAGAAAAGCGTAAAATGCACTGAAGCATTCAAATATTCAGACAAAGTCCCACATTTTGATTAAATGAACAACTATGCCAAATATTTTTTTTTTTTTTACTTGAACAGCACAAGTTAGAGAGAGAACGAAAAAAAGTGAGTAAAACGACCAGTTTCTCAAACATTTCTTTTACGCAAAGAGTCTGTAAAAAATGGCGATAGTATTTATCCGCATTTAAGTTGGCAGTCAAATGCGTTCACTTTTTTTTTACGAAAAAGAGTTATAAAGCTATCATCAGTCGATTGAAAGAGAGTAAAAATGTTCATTCTATACATAGACAGTTTTTTTTCTCTTCCTTTCTATCTCTCGTTTCCATCACATGCATGCCTCTTGCACAACTACAGCAAAATTTATGGAATAAAAGTGCCAAGTTAACGTGTCAGTGCATACTCTATTAAATAAATAATAAGCGAAACCGAAAAATGGAACGACACATAAACTACGATATAGTTGAACAAATGTTTCCACATGAACGCAATAATAACACAAAATCAAAAGAAAATTGTGAACAAATGGAACACGGTATATACCGAATATGAGAATAATAAGCAGAACTCAAACATTTGAAGAGTTTTGACGCCAAAAATAAAAAATAAAAGAGAAAGCATACAAACACAGGAGAGTGTATAAGACGAAAATACAAAGGACACAATATTTGTACTTAATTTTCAATTATTTACCGAATGTATTCAATATTAAGTTCATTATTGTTTAATCTTGTCGATTTCAATTTTTTACATGAATGACTAGGCGATCAATGGAAATTTGCAAATTCACTCTGAACACTCGCCGTTTCCATTCTCTTTTTCATTTCTCAACATGTTCGCTTACAATAGAGCATGGAAAATGGAAATATCCTCGGAATTAATTACTCAGCATTAAAGATGGTGTACCATCGTGTGTCGAGCATTGTATGCTTGCCTCTGTCGAATTTATATTCGAATTCAATGGAGAAGAAATACACACTGCCAAATGTTTGTCGCTGCTTTAAATTTGTGCAAGGTCATATGTCAGTATTCAACGTAATGCCCATCAAATCTGTCAACAAAAATGCGACGACTTTCAGTTTCAGTCAAGTGCGTAGCACATTGTTTTCGTTGTCGCTGTCGCTTTTTTCTTCTATTTTCGATGGTGTGTGTGTTTTTTTTTATTTTATTGATGATGTGAAAAATGTGTTGTTCGTGTATGGTGTGACAAAAATGTGCAGTGCTCGATAGAATATCGAAATATACGTTGAATGTACGTTTATGAGTTGGCGCTAAATAAGGTCTATGTACCGCAAATTATTACAATGTATCCAAAATCGATATGGATTTTCATTTCGGTTGTGAAATATTGCCTCTTAGCTGGTTCTCGTTGGAATTACTTGGAATTTTATGCTTCGTTCGTTCGTTGACAATGAGGACGGCAACGACAGAGACAACGATGAAGATAAAAACAGGCATGGTGGACTATTTTGAAATGACGCGTCCAATATGTAAAACATTTCATAATGTTTTCAACCGCGCGCGTATATTACCGCGCCAACTATCGATTGAATTTGACAAACAATGACGAATAACATTCATGTTTATATTGTGAATGGATGACTGGCACGAATCATCGAAACATAATGGTAACAAAATTGAATAGTCCTGAGCCCCTGATGCCGTTGTCGTTTCGTAACAGCAACAGCAGCAGCAGGAGCAGGAGTAGCCACATCAACAGCAAAGTCTACAATGACAGCGACTAAGTTGTCTTGTTCTGCCACTTCAGTCGATTGATGATTGAATCGTCTATAAAAAGAGTCTGCCATGACTGGGTTGGCGCGTTCGCATTTATTATACACTCGTTCGGTTCTTGATAATTTTTCAACAAAAGTGCTGCTATAATTGCTAATCCGATTATTCGCCGTTTGCCATTGCAATCAAAAAATAATATTTATTTAACATTCACATTGACAAAAAGGTGTTTACGACGTAACATCGCAAAATATTCCCACCTTAATATAAAAATATATTAGATTCGATTGAGTGTGCTGTAAGTATTTGACTATTCGTTGATTAATTGTCGTCATCCATATCTTGTTGTCTCATGCAGTATTATTCCATAAATAAGGAATAATGGTGATGATTGAAACGTAACCCGGTACACTTCGTTGCTCTTTGATGGGTATTTCGATGAGCGAGAAAATTGAAGAAAATAAAAGGTAGAATTGAACGAATCAATTAATAATAAACTGAATCGACACGAAAAATTGATAAAAATGGACATTGAGACACTGTCTCCCTGAATCGATGTGTGTTTCATTTTGGATGTTCGTTGTGACTTTTAATGTCGATTACATTTTTTCCTTCTGTTTTTGTCGTGTATGTGTCTTGTTCTGTTTTCCTCAATCCACAATGTGGATTGTGGCAATGGACTCATGTGATATGATGAGAAACACGTTGTATGTGTGAACTCTTATCCAATTGCAACAACCAAACCATTTGAAGAGCTTTGCGGTTGAATTAAGGCACAACATAATCCGATATTTTCATGCGGCAAATCCGAGAGACACTGAAAATGAAAATGAAACGTGCTTTGTGAATTTGATATTGCTTATCACTCTTTAGCAGCTCGCTGGTTACTTTTAATCCACTTTGACTCCGTCGGGCTGGTGGAAAAAAAACAAAGCACTTATTCACCAAATATTTATCTGACATTGTCTTGAGTTGTCAACATAGTACCAATCTGTCTACACTCGATATGGTGATCATGAGCACACGGCTCTCTATTTCTGTCATAACCTATGACCAAATAAATGTATGTGCACCAGTATGCATAGGTCTTTCTTTTCTCATTTCTATGACAAGATTTAAAATGAATCTCAAAATGTGCGGATGTAATTTTTGAAATAAGAACACGAAAAAAAACATATTAGTTTTTTCTCAACAAATCGAGACAAATAGATTGAAGATTATGTTCAATATCATACTGGATAAAATCACGGAAAGTTATTTTGTGCACTGATGGCAACACGGAGATAGTGAGGGTGTGAGAGCAGCATTGAGAACGAGAGAAACCTAAAAAGAAAGAAAGAGATAGAGAAAGAGTTGAATCGTGTGCAAAAGTGCCATGAAATATTTTGTGTAATTTTTTCAAATTGATTATTTCTC